AGCTCGTAGGCGTGTGATACATTTGATTGTTTCTAGGTGTAGGCTAGGGGGGTCTGACAGCAACTGGGTATTCTTTCCCACGACTAATCTCCCATTAAAATCGCATGTCTTTCTATTTTTCTGGGGCAATTCTCTCAAATAGGGAATCGGGGACGGGCGAACACGTGTTGGGGGAAGATTCTTCTTTCGTGGGAATTTTTAGATACCCAAGAAATTGAATAGAACATGACTGAAACAGTGCACGCAACTACAACTTCCCTTTGCTCCTTTCCAGATGTCTGAATAAGCTGCTCCTTCGACAAAAAGGTCCATTTCACCAAACTAATACGGTCTGCGTTTTTGGCCATTTTGGCGAATTTCAGGTTACATAGATGGCCGTCTTCGCTGTGGCGGATCTTCGGACTAATTGGAAAGAGACATGTCATCGCCAGTTCTAACGCGAGTCAACTAGCGTGTAGTCTTCTTCTCTTCTTCTTTTTCTTTCAGGGTTTTTTTTTTCTTATGAACTCTCTTTCCCTCTCTCCCTCTAACCCTTTTTTGTTTCATGGGCTTTTTATATTGGAGTTAGTTTTTGGGTTACATCTAGTTTTATATTTTGTAAATGGACATGGAATTTGTAGCCTTAATTTAAAATCCCTAACGGTGTACTCAAAAGGTGCTTGCTTTTAGCCTAATGTTCCTTCGTTTGGTGTGTAAATACATATATATCAGCGACGTAGCGGTATTATCATCGCTATTCGACCAGTATTATTAAACAAAAGTCGCCTCCGTTTGCTATTTAGATACGTGCATCTAAACTCCACATTCTCAATCCGTTAAAAGGTTAAAAAGAAAGAAAGAAAGACCATTTGACACCTATGCAATTCTCCTTTTTCTCGTACGCACGGATGGACGTACTGACTTTTCGGAGAAGAGCAACAAGAGGAGGAGGAGGAGAAAGGATAGCGGTAACATACATACATGTTCATCTTGTGATCTCTAGTAGCGAAAGTTATGACAACTATTACATAGTCTTTCCATATGGTAGCTCCTTGCCTGTTATCGTGATTCGCCCCCCCTTTCTCCCTATTTCTCTCACTCTCGGTCTATCGTTGCCCGTTGTCGGGTAGCCAACGTCAACAATCGATCTCACTAGTTGCCAAGGTTTTAACAAGAGCAATTACGTTGTTAGTTGTTGCTGTTGGTTTCCTAAGTTGAATAGTTCGTGTACGAGAGACGCTACAATCAAGAATTGTTGGGTAGATCAAGAAATTTTTCGGTCTCATCAGATAAAGCGTGCCCTAAGTGCACACTGGTTGATTGTGAACGTGGTCGAAACCACAAAGTCAACGAGAGACATGGACCGAGCGATTGGTGCATTGATTCCCTCCACTTTGTCAATCAATCAGCAAGTCAAGTGTCACAAAAATTTTCTAGGCCCTCCGGCTTCTCCTTCTTTATCGGTAAAATGTTCCCGGTCATTAGATCTAATGAATTTCATGTAAATTCACCACGATCTAAGCACAAGAAGTGCATTAGGTGCAGTTCACCCGTGCACCGAATATTTTCTCTTGCTCAACAACCGAGAAAGAGCGCACAGTAAAGAACGAACCGTAAACGACCATGAATTCATGAGATTTCGGCGATACATTTTTAATATCATTCCTCATAAGTCTACCCCATTATAAAACAGAATCATTGACTTTATCATAACTAGCATACAAGAACTTCACATATAATCAATTTATTTATTTTTCCCTCTTTCTTTAAATAAATTGAATTAGAGAATAGAGACCTCCTTCTTCATAATTGACTGCGTTCATCCTAGCATTAGTCTAAAGTGATTGGTCCAATAAGTTGGAAGTCACGTGGCACACAGCGGTGCTTCGCCTTGTTGTCCTACAATAGGATGAGAATGATACACATGAAGAAAATTGGAAGTAATCAAACAAGTGGGCGATCGTCGAATTGCTTAGTCGTTGGTTTAATGTTGTCATTGTAATTGAATGAAATATTTATAATTTATCTCTTGGCATGGTTAGGTTGTTGAGAACATATGGTGTAGGTGCGACTCAAATGCTGAGGTCTTCAACTATGCCAAGCATATTTTTTTGTTTGTTTATTAAGGTGCTAATTTGTCTTAAACCTTAGTGTTGAGGTCTAGTCTCGAATAACGGAAGATCCCCGCGATTGATCACGATTAAAGAAATATCGATCATTACGCATAAAGTCGGCCGGGCCTAGACATTCTGAGATCAAGAAAGGAACCGCATACCCCGACTCGCCCGTTTGCACCTCGAGCTTGGGAGGGTCTAGCAGGCTGCTAGGTGTGTATAAATTACCTCTCTTTTCAAAATTTCACACCTTAATTACGCTACGAGGTTTCAAACTAAAAGCATAGACTTTATACCTATAAGTCTAACATTGTACCCGTAAGCTCAGGACGGCTATAGAAACTAAATGGCGTCGAGTGTAAATTACGAAGAATAGAGTCTCGAAATGAAAATATGGAAAAGAAATGTAGGTTTTGGAATTGGAGAACGTGAAGTAGATTTAGTAAGATAAATTGGTCCTTTGTAAGTTATCCCTATATTTCTATTTTCTCCATTTTAAAGCTCTCCGTTCAAACTCTCTCTAAGTAGTGATTTACTTGTTCACAAAATAATACTTCAAGTAGTGATGGAGTCGTCTTGATTTCATATTAAAAGTTCTTGCCCTTTCCCTGCAACATCACAATCTAAAGCTAATAAACATATTACTTATGACCTATCCTAAGACAATACGTACACGCCAAATTAAGCCCACATTCTCAGCTTATTCACCAGGCCTCACTCACAATTGATTATCTCGGGAGGTAATGGCGAACCGAAATTACATTCGAGATGTCACGCTTTTTTGATAGGAGCTTGGTCTTGACCTCAACGGAGTATATGTTAGAAAAAGTGCAGGTGATGAAGGGTGGGAGATAATCTTAATTGGATCCTGTTAACGAGTATCCCTCATTGATGATCGATACCAAGCCGGTTCAGTCCCAAAATTAGAACCCGAAACTGGCCTTGTAAGATTCAATTTCGGAAAATCGGAGCCAATAACCGAACTGGCTAAGCTTGGAACAGGCCTGGAACGGGATTTGCAGTTTGCAACCGATGATGATCTCAGCTGAGCGGGGAACTCGCTTCGAACCGATCTAGGCCGGTTCCCCGGATAGAACCCGCCAGTTCAAAGCTCAGAACCGGTACCCTACCCGGAGGTAGACCGGTTCAGAACCCTTAAAACTTTTCCCCCGTGTCGGTAGTTGTTGTCCGAAGAGACGATGTCTTGAAAAGGCAATGCATGGAATGCTCGTGCAAAGAAAGCCAACCCCTCTCCACTTTTGTCTCTGGCCAACAGCAGTTTCTCTCTCCAGAAACATCTCGCTTTTGCTTGCCATTTGTCAATCAGGGCTCTTCTCCAATCAATTTTTTCCTCACCTAATTAACGTTGAATCGATCACCAAACCTGTCAGAAGTTTCCATCACTCAGTCTCACCAATCCCTCCTCTTCCAGTTCTGACTTTTTTGGCACGTCATCGGCGCCAGATGCGACCTCTTTCTATCTTAGGTTAGGGCGCCTCCTCTTTACTTGTGATCGATCAACGTTGGACTTGTCTGGTCCGGCCACGTTTGAGCTTTCGTCTGCGCATTTCGTGCATCCAAACTCGGGTCTACAATGATCCTCGTGCATGTTAGTCATTTGACCCGAATTCAGTTAAGTAATTCATGTCATGTATATGTATTACATTCGTCTTCTTCGCATTCTCTCTCTTTGGATTATCCCGCTTTTACTCGATGAATTTCGAATTAGGATTTTGTTAACGAGCGCGAAGTGCTCGATAGATGTTTGTATAAAGAGATATTGTCTTTTTCAAAATATTGTTTTTCTCGTGTTTTGTATAATCAGTGCATTTTAAATGAAAAAATCTTATTTTTATTAGGTATATGCTTGATAAGTGCTCTAAAGACACTAATTAACGAGACCCTTTAGATTATTTTATCGTATATGCTCCAGATTAGACAATGTACACAATACAATAGATGATTGACCGGTAATAATGCAGGCAACTATAGTGCAAACTTGTCTGGATATGATCCATGATGGCTCGATTATATATATATATAGATTTTATAATCTCGTATGAGTCTCTTAAAATTTGGATGGCATTAACTGCATTCAATTTGGACCATGGTCCATACAAGAATTTACCTATCGAGGGATCTCATCGTGGGCTCGTGCTCATAAGGAAGGGCCCGACTATGAAATGGAGATATAATGGGGAACGTTTTTCATCTACTATACCCGTTTACTATCTTTATCCATTACTTAACACTCAACACGAAGACCTTCAGACTCTGTTGTGCGTTTACCTAATGCCCAATGCAAAAACCTCCCTCTCTCTTTCACACACATACCGGCCGCTTCCGACTCCATCGCATGGCAAGCCCCAAATTGATCGTAGGGACTTCGACCTCTAGTCAAGGTCGACTGCCTCGAATCGGCGCCAATTCAACAGTCTTTTGAATCGCGACAGTATGAACCTAACGTCCGATTTACATGATTTATAGACTACAGAAATACTTTTTTCCGGTGACGATAGATGGATATAAACAGAGCATGGAATGTGGGGGACACAGGCCCCTCCCTCTCACGCACAGGCTTGGCAACTTTCTATGCAGTAACTTTACATGGTGACATTGATTCCCCAACAGACGGGGGTGGACTCTTGTGATCTCTCTCTCTTTTGGAACCATTATCGCAACCACCGCCAAATTTATATCTTTTCATTCCTTAAAACCCACGATAAGTAAATATGGAATTACGACAATTTCTTCCCCTTTCCTCTTTTCCCAGTTCTCAATGACATGTTGTGTCGGTTGGGCCTCCCCGTTGACTTTGACATCCTCAGAAAGCCACCCGCAGCAGCCTTCTTCCCTCCACCCCTCCTCCTCCTCCTCCCATCTCCATTTCAAATCCTCCCTCTCTCTCTCTCTCTCTCTTTCTCTCTCTCTCTCTCTCTTTCTCTGTGTGTGAAGATGATGTTGAGGAAGCTGAGACACGCGCTGCCGTGGACGGCGGTCGACAAGCCCAAGTCCTCCAAGCACCACAAGGCTGATCAGACCTCCTCCAAGCTCAAGCCCGCCCTCTTCCTCTCCTCCTTCTTCGCTCTCTGGTTCCTTCTCCTCTACTTCCGCTTCGATCTGCTCCGCCCCGACACCGCGAGAAGGCCTCCTGCTGCGACCAACCTCACCCTCGGCGTCGCCGATGACCCTCCCGACGGCTCCGCCTGCCGCTCCCGCGCCGCCGTCTACGTCCACTCCCTCCCCCCCAGGTTCAACTCCGACCTCCTCCTCCGCTGCCGCTCCCTCAACATGTACACCGACATGTGCCCCCACGTCTCCAACCGCGGCCTCGGCCGCCCCATCCCCTCCGTCGCCGGCATTGGCGGTGGTGGAGGAGGCAGCTGGTTCGCCACCAACCAGTTCATCGCCGAGATGATCTTCCACGCGCGCCTCGAGAACCACCCGTGCCGCGTCCGCGACCCCGCCCTCGCCAACCTCTTCTACGTCCCCTTCTACGCTGGCCTCCACGTGTCCAGCATGTTCCGCGAGCGCAGCCTCCCGGCCCGCGACGCCCTCGCCGTGGACCTCGCCGAGCACGTGCAGTCCCTCCCCACATGGCAGCGGCGCGGCGGGCATGACCACTTCCTCGTCCTCGGCCGGACTGCATGGGACTTCCTCCGGCTCTCGAACCGGGGCCCCGACTTCGGGGCGAACTCGCTCCTGGACCTCCCGGCCGTCAGGAACATGTCGGTCCTGACCGTCGAGAGGCAGCCCTGGACCGGGTCCAACCAGCATGGTATCCCGTACCCGTCCTACTTCCATCCCGCCACATCAGCAGAGATGCTGGCGTGGCATAAGCACGTCAGCGAGTCCGATCGGCCGCACCTGTTCTCCTTCATCGGCGGACCGCGGAGGGGCCCGGGCATGGCGGCAATAAGGGACGAGCTCATCCGTCAGTGCAACGAGTCGGCCCGGTGCGAGCTCGTGGTTTGCAAGCCGGCGTCCCCCGCCGCATGCCACGACCCGGGCCGGGTGCTCAGCATCATGGCGGCGTCGCGGTTCTGCCTGCAGGCACCGGGGGACTCGTTCACGCGGCGGTCCGTGTTCGACGCGGTGCTCGCGGGGTGTGTGCCCGTGTTCTTCTCGCCGCACACGGCGTACACGCAGTACAGGTGGTACCTCCCGGCGGAGCCGAGGGAGTACTCGGTGTTCGTCGACGCCGGAGAGGGAGAGGAGCCGCTGGAGGTGGAGATAGAGAAGGTGCTCGCGGAGATCCCGCCGGAGGAGGTGGAGAGGATGCGGCGGAGGGTGGTCGAGCTGATACCGAGAATCACGTACGCGCATCCGAACGCGACGGCGTTGGGGTTTCGGGACGCGGTCGACGTCGCGGTCGACGCCTTGCTCGAGCACATGGGGTCCAAGTTAGAGAAGACCTAAATTTAATTTATCAATAATTCTTTCCTTTTGTGAAAAGAAAAGTCATAACTTTAATTTTTATTTTCGTTTTTGTAGTTTTTTTTTACATCGTGTTCATGTAGTGTAATGTGATTTGTCACGATCACAACCCTCAATTTTCAGGGAAAATTACCATAAAAAAATCTAAATCTATTGTACGCCAATTCAATCTTTAATCTTTTTATTGTACCAATTCAGTCCTAAATCTTTTGATAATTTGATAATTTAATCATTTTACACAATTTTAGTCGAAAATCGCTGACCCACGTGAGGCATTCTACATTGCACAGCGAGCGTTGATGTAGACAAATTTTTGTAATGTTTAACTATTTTTATTTATCAGACCAAAAAAAAACTATTTTTATTTTCTTTTTTTCCTTCTTCCTTCGCCGGTCCTTGACAATGGTCGGCAATGACGACCAGCGTGGGTTGTCCTTGATGGATCTGGCGCTGGTGAGGTCACCCTTCGCTGGTCATCGCTAGCCATCACCGAGGCTTGACAATCGTCAAAGGAAGAAAGAAAAGAAGAGAAAAAATAGAAAATAAAAATAATATAAAAATAAATAAATAAAATTATAAAATTTGTCCACATTAAGTATTTCCGCCAAATTAATCAGAATGACTAAATTGGTAAATTGTCAAAATGTTTATGACTAAATTGATCAAATTGAAAGGTTTAAAATTAAATTAACATAAATGTAATAGGTCTAGGACTATTCTAATAATTTTCCCTCAATTTTTGTGTTAATAGCATATGAGATTTGCTATGTATCGCCATTTGGCCTCTCTCGTGAACATACTCCACTTCTTAGTCGTTTCTTAGGGCAGACCTTTGGTTTCCTTGAAAATATTTTATGTTTATCTTGTATTTTTTACATCGTCGCCCTTAAGTTCCTTGTAATTTCACTTTAGATCTTTTAAATATCTGGGATTTATACTTCGCGCCCTCCAATTTTAATATGGAAAACTTTTACTTTTCGACCCTATACTTCCACACTCTTTCTTATTCGAATTAAATCCTTATACTTTTTTAATTTTTCTCATCGAATCCTTCTATTCGCACAAATTGTCTAATGAAGCGCTCCGGACCAAACCCAATGAAAATTCTGTTGATGTGACCGTCCGAACGTGACATGGCTAGTGAGGCCGCAGCGATTCGCCGAGAATTATAGGAAGAACACGTTATTTATGTCAGTTGTAGCTCAACTTAGCTCTTATTTTCTAAGCTAGAAAAGAATGATGTATAATATACCCAAAATGGTGAGCAAACGAGAAGAGAGAAGTGCCCTACACAAAACGAGCAGAGAGTTAGGGCCCGTTTGGTAACGTGCCAAACAGTGAAAATTTTTGTTCTTTTGTTTCCAGAAATAGTTTGGGAACAGAAATGCTTTTGGTAAACTTTTTGTTTCCGGGCACATTTTTGCAAAAATTTGTGCCCAGAAACAGTTTTGGAAGAGAAACAAGAAGTAAAAAAAAGTTGCTTCTTATTTCTCGACACAATTTTGAGAATGAGTTCTTTTTCTTTTCTTTTTTGTGTTGTTCTTCCCTGGGCTGTGGCCGGTCGCCGGCGGCCGGCCATAGCCCAGGGCCGACGAGGGCGTCATGGCCCTCGCCAGCCGCCGGCGAGGGCGAGGGCTGGACCCTCGCCACCTGGGTGAGGCGGCTCGCCGTCGATCATGGCGAGGTCGGCCTCGCCCGATCTGGGCAAGGTCGGCGGTGAGGCAGGCGGCCAGGGTGGCGGCGAGGGCCGCGACGCCCTGGCCTGTGGCCGGTCGCCGGCGCCGGCGACCGGCCATGGCCAAAGAAGGGAAGGGTAGAAAGAAAAAAAATAGAAAAACAATATTAAATAATTTAAAAAATATTATTAATAAAAAGAAATTTTGTGTAGTTACCAAACGTATTTCTGTTCTTTTCTATCCCAGGAATAGAAATTTTGGACAGTTACCAAACGCCTTTAAATGCTCAGAAATTGTTTCCGGGCACAGAATAAAAAAGAATCATTTCTGAATAGAAATAATTTCCGGGCACAGAATGATTGTCATGCGCACCCTTACTAACCTGGCGTCCATTCGATGATTTCTACACGGTGGAGCCAGCAACCTGCTGCCTGGACAGCTGGTTAACTTTGGTCCCTATTGAGAGCATGACATATGTATCCCAATTGTTGACTCTGAGGCCCTCCTAGTCACATGGAATTGACTATTCTAACATGAGAGCCAAAATGACCGACTCTTCTTGATTTAAAAAGAGAATGAGCCATTCCAACAAGAATTCTCGAGGAAATTAAAATCGATAACCATCGTCGTCCATAATGGACCAGAAACATCATTCGCATCTAGCACAATGGGCAACACAATCAAACCCTCGAACTCTTCATGGGATGAATGGAAAGCACAGGAAAGGAAAGAGAGATCTAAAATCACCATGCAAGGCAAAAGAGTGTGTTATATATATATATATCATCAAAATCTTTGCAAGAGAATCGAAGAAGAAGAAGAAGAAGAAGAAGAGGCCCAACCCAAGAACGAGCGAGCCCTTCCTCAGACAGAAACGGCCTGTGTCTTCTCCGAGAAGCCTCGTCTTCTTCCTCAGATCTCTCTCTGGCTCTCTGTCTCTCTCTCGATTCTCTCTGTGCTTTACAAGCAACACACACACACGCACACTCTCTCTCTCTTCCTCTCTGCCTGTCGTCCCGACAACCATCTCTCTCCCCATGTGATTCGCCTTCCTCTGTGAAAAAAAGAAGGACCAAAAAGCTGTTCATTCTCTACCCTTTTGGCCCTCCTTCGTCCCCTCGCTTTTCATTCCTTCCCCATTTCACATGAAGATCTGATCTCTCTCTCTCTCTCTCTCTCTCTCTCTGACTTCGCCTGCAAGAATTTGTGTCCCCTCTCGCGATCCCCAGGCAGGGAAAAAGGAAGAAACTTTGATTCGCCCTTCAGCTTCTCTCACTCCCCTGCTTCGTCTCTTGTCCAATCTCGCCGTCCGCTTTCCTCGGATCTTCGTGGGTCTAGGGTTTTCTCCCACCCCCCATCACCTGCTTCGTCGTGTTTGCGCGTGTCCCTTGTGAAAAAGGCGGGATTTTGCCGAGGCTTTCTAGCTGGGGGAACCGACCTCGGGGGCTTTTTGATCGGGTCGATCGTTGGTTTGGAGTCGCGGGTTCAAGGTGGATTGGATTCAGTTCGATTCGGGGGATTTCTGGGTGCCATGGATAAGGAGAAATTGTCTGGTCATAGTAGCGGGTTGCCGCCTCCGTCGGGTCGTTTCGCGGGGTTCTCGCCGAATGCGAATGCCTTCTCCGTGAAGCCGGAGCCGCCGCCGGCGGGCTCCTCGTCGTTCCCCCCGTTGGCTCAGCAGAACCTGGTCCCCGACTTCAGCCACGATATTAGCCGGATGCCCGATAACCCGCCGCGGAACCGTGGCCACCGCCGCGCGCATTCGGAGATTCTCACTCTCCCTGATGATATCAGCTTCGACAGTGATCTCGGAGTCGTGGGAGCCGCGGATGGTCCTTCGTTCTCAGATGATACGGAGGAGGATTTGTTTTCCATGTACCTCGACATGGATAAGTTCAATTCGTCCTCGGCGACTTCGTCGTTTCAGATGGGAGAGCCTTCTTCTGCTCCACTGGCCATGGCGGCTGCCGCGGAGTCTGGTTCGGGGGCAGCCCCATCTTCTGCGGAGAACGTGGCTTCTGGGTCGACTGAGAGGCCTAGAATTAGACATCAACATAGCCAGTCTATGGACGGGTCAACGAGTATTAAGCCCGAGATGCTTATGTCGGGTTCCGAGGAAGCATCTCCTGCAGATGCCAAGAAGGCCATGTCTGCTGCGAAGCTTGCTGAGCTTGCACTGATTGATCCCAAGCGCGCAAAGAGGTACACAGTGGCTCAAGAGAGTTTTTCGATACTTGCTAACTCTGGCAAGTTGCTGAAGTCTGTCGTTTGATATCGCCCATGCCTTGCGTATATAGCATAAATCTGTTGTTAATTGTGCTTTAATAAATGCTTCAATCATTTAGTGTTTGGTCTTCAGATGACAAGTATTGACTGCATTGTCTAGACATTAGTTGTACATCTTGGCTCATCACTCATGATAGATAGTTCTATGGTTGTTATATGGATGATTGAGGAGGACTATTCTGGGACCATTCCTGCCTGCGAAATAGAGGCATTGCTTGCTGAATTTTTAATTCAATGTATAATGTGGTTTATGTTTTGTGCAAATTTAACGTTGCAAGTTTTTCCTTTGACTTGATTGTCTGGTGTTAGGAAAAAATGCTGCCTTAGGTTTGGTTTGCTAATTCATTTGAACTCTTTGTACTGACATCAAATGCATTCTCTCTCTTGTGCTTCTACCTTTACTAGTGTTATTTTGGTGATCGTGAATATATATATACATGGGGGCAGTGGTAGTGATTTTTGATAGGTCATAAGTTTGAATGCATACAGCTTGTCTCTCCTTCTCAGGACAATATGTGTGTTGCACCTCTTGTGTACACTAGGCAGTCTGTGCATGGCTTATGCTGGTCTTGCTTCGAAAGGTGTTGGTTTGACCTGTGTGACAATATTTTGGCCTCTTTCCTCATGTAGTATATCCTTTTCAGTCTTAGAATGATGCAATTGAGTGCACTTTAATCTGCATGGTGCCTGTATGAGCATACAATTAATTAACTAAGAGAACTGTTTCCATTTAGGCATTGTACACGGAGAAGGGAGGTTTTGGGATTTGGGTTCAGCTGCTCATGTACTTCGACATATATTCTGCTTCGTTACTGATGTTTGTCTTCTTTCGTGAACTGATGTGCTCTCTTATAGTTAGTATGTCTTCTGTAGTACGTGATGAAAGATTGAAAGTTGCTTTAACTAATTAATCGATTGGATGATATTGTAAATGTTTGCAAGAGGAATTCAAACCGGCACAAGATTTTACTTTACTACATTTTTACCTTTTCTTCAAAAGTACTTTTAATAGCTGGGTGCACCAACAGTAATAAACTTATAAGTTAGAACATTTTCCACTTCCTTTGAATTAATGTGTGGCTAGAGGTGCTCGTCTCTGTTGCCCTCTTTGCAAGAGTTTTGACTCGAAGATGTGTTAAGAATCTTGATTAGATAATTGATGAAAGAGGTTGCTTTCATAATAAGCAGGAAGGTAGAAACACGAAAATGGACTGAAATTGGACTTATTGTCTCCTTGTTAACTTCCTTGGCTGTGAGTTTCATGTTACATTTCGATTTTATTCAGTACTTTTGTTTTTTACTAAGACTTTCTGCTTGTGAAATTCAGAAGCGAGCATATGTTTTCTCCTTTTTTTCCTTTCATAGTAAATGTCAAGTGTGAGCTATGCAACACCATATGTTTTTCAATAACTATGAACTTTACATAATTATACATACGACACTGTTGAGTGCTTTATGAAATTATGACTCACTTGCAGAGTACGATATCGTGTGTATCTACATATGTTTATGCTTTCAGTAATATTGTAAGCTTTGGTATTTTCTCACTCTTAATGAGGTCTGTTGCGAGTGGGGTTTCTATGGCGTGCTTCGATTTGCTATAAAGTGTGCAATCTAGGTGAAAGTTCAACTGTTTTTCGGTCTTATGTTTTGCCTTCTTTGTCTCCTTTTCTAGAACTCGCTATGGTATTTCTTTGTTCCGTAACTTTTTTTTATCTTTGTACTGTGATTATGTGATGTCCACATTATATGTACATTCAACCCCATCCTTTCGGTGATTCAATAGGATCTGGGCAAACAGACAGTCGGCTGCAAGGTCAAAGGAAAGGAAGATGCGATACATAGCTGAGCTTGAACGGAAAGTACAAACTTTACAAACTGAAGCAACAACTCTCTCTGCACAGCTCACTCTGCTGCAGGTAAGTTGTGTCTAGTTAGATGGTGTGAATGAGAGCTGATTTGGTATGTTCATTGCTCAAGTGCTACAAAAGCTCTCAGTGACATTTTGTTCTCCTTTTGCTTTTCTTGTGTTATTGTTCTTGACAAGTGATGTTGCTTGCACATTGATATTGTTATCATTATGTTTCTTGTTTGGATTTTGCAGAGAGACACAAATGGTTTGACTGCTGAGAATAGTGAATTGAAACTGCGGTTGCAAACAATGGAGCAACAGGTTCATTTGCAAGATGGTATGTCTTGTTCTTTAATATGTCCCTCTGTAGTATAGTAACTATTATTATATTGTTTGCACTTCCGCTTGTCTAAGTATGGCATCATTATTGAACTATAGCGTCTCATTGCTTCTGCATATAAAAGAAAGATGCAGCTGCATGTTATCAGTTGTATCTTCTTCAGACTGTTGGTTTTTATTTTCTGGTGCTTGTACTAATGAAACACAAACGACTGCAGAATTTTTTTTCTTTTGGTTATGTACAAACAACTCCAGATGTATGGGGTCTTTTATTGGGCCTGTAGTAATCTAACCTCAAATGCAATGCAATCTTTTTGATATTTTTTATGCATGTGCCTAATCTAATGATGTTGACCACATTTGCCTGATGTGCATTGCATGGTTAATTGAGCATCTTACATTGTTGTGTTGTTAAAGGATGCGAGAAAAAACAGAATTTTCATAAGATGGAAGTTAACTGCTTTGGTGGAAATTAATAAAGTTGCAGTGCCAGAGGTCCTACTAGAAAGAAGATGAGCAGGAGAAATGACATGACCATCTAAGTTGGATGGATCAATACACCTGTTTGTTAGTTCTAGTTTTCTTATGGACTGCAAATGGAGTAATGTCCATTGTTCTGACTCCTATTCCACATTATGTACTAGAATCTTTTGTTTGAAAAAATCTTTTGCAATTTCCTCCAATGTCTACTGTCTCACATAATATCACAGTATGTGTATATCACGGTAATGTGGAAATTTTGAAGTAGTCAATGAGGAATTTTGTGGGAGTAGATTGCATTGTATGTTCTTCAGCAATCCTTTGTGTTAGTCAGATAATCTGTCTTACCAGTGTCTTTAGCAATACTTATGAAGTAGGTGATTAGGTGAAAGAGAGTATAGATATGGGAAATCAGTGTAAATCTGGTATGCAAGATATGCTAGATGCTGCATGATGATACAGTTGGAATTTAAGTTTGGTACATTTTCCTTTCTCTTGCTCACCCTTTATAAATGCTCTTTCATCATTTTTTTTGGGGATATCATCGCTGTGATAAATTTTCTGTTTCGCTCTATTTCCTGATATAATGTTTCGGTTCGTTTGGAGTAATGGTATTTATTTGGACTCTTTGCACAGCAATCTGAAGTGCTTTACCACAATGATTATGTCTAGTTGCAGTGCTATCTGGTTCTTGCAGAAGGCATTTCCAAAGATTCGTCTAAGAGTTTCTTCAAACATTTTTTTATTCTGTTTATAATTATTACTACGAAGTGTCGTTTGTTTTACTACTTTTGCTCTGAGATTCCTCACATACGCATCTGTAGCATAAAACTGCACATTGATTTTTACTTGGTAGGAGGTTTGATGAGGCATACCCCTTCATCTTCTTTGCAGCTTTGAATGAAGCACTCAAAGAGGAAATACAACATCTGAAGGTACTAACTGGCCAAGCTATGCCCAACGGTGGACCCATGATGAACTACGCTTCGTTTGGAAGTGGCCAGCAGTTCTATCCCAACAACCATGCGATGCACACTCTTCTGGCTGCACAGCAGTTTCAACAGTTGCAGATTCAGTCACAGAAGCAGCAGCACCAGTTTCAACAGCATCAACTGCATCACCAACTTCAGCAGCAGCAGTTACAGCACGAACAGCAGCAACCAGCTGGGGACTTGAAATTCAGAGGACCTATTCCTTCTCCAAATCAGAAAGATGGTAATGCAGCAGAGTCAAATTCTTCTAAAATGGAGTGAGTAGCTGCCTTTGGGCTTTGTATCAGTAACTGTTGTCTCCTCTTAGTCTGTCGCTAGCAGTATTAATCACCATCAGTCATCAGATTAGACACATACCCCTCTCCCTCAAAAAAAAAAAAAAAGTAGTACTAGATTTAGACTTTTCATGGGACGCATACTGTCGAATGCATTTATTTGTTTATTTATTGTTGTCGTGTTGTTTAGATCTTTGATCTGGATTGAAGTTTCTCGTAGTAGGTTTGCTTTGTGAATTAGTTACTTGTTGGGTCCCTGTAGTGATTTGGTATAACTGAGAATTTTTGTCTAAACTGGCTGCTTCTGAATTGCCCTTTACCTTTTTGGCTGTGAAGTTTGCGGAAGGGGAATCCAGGTTTACTAAGTGTGGACTCGGCTGGCTGTATCTGCCTTTGGTCTTAAAAATTTCTTCATTTCTTCTTACTTCACAAACTGTAACTGCATTTCGGAAATTGCACATGGAACAAAAGTCAAGTAATCTGATTTTTCTGATGAGTAACTCAATATCACAGCAATGAAGAATATTTCTATGAGCATGCCATTCTGTTATCGAAAAAGGGGACAGAGGTTTCTGTTCCTAGATGAAGTGGTAAACTATGAGGTGGACCACGTCCTTAGTTACCTTGTTCAACCTATGGCTAGTCTTTCCTCTTACATTTAGGGGAAGGTCTTACATGCTGAAGGGCCAAGTAAGACATTCTTGGAGAGAGCTGATAGTCGATAAGCACTCTCCAGTTTCTCTTTATCCGTACGTGATGCATGTGTTGTTTTCTCCTTACCGGTTTCTCAACTCTTCTGTTTAGTGGGAGTCGTTTTGCAAATCAAAGAGAGAAACTTCTCTGTTCAGGGAATATGGTTCCTCTGAATGTTCTGTTTTATACTTCTGATTGCAAATGTAGCTTTCTTTACGGATCAAAAGATGAGAACGTGGGGAGTTTTGTGTCTACAATGTTTGGATATACTTGAACAGGCTTTCTTTTGTTTTCTTTTGAGAGGTCATGTAAACTTACGTATCTTAATTATGAACCGAACTCTCGGCTGCAACATCTATAGTAAGCAAATTGTTCAATATTGGTTGATGATATTTCAATGTTCCTTCAGACTTGATTGCAACCCCCAATTGATGACTTTTCCGCGTCAGTGGTGGTTGTTATGCAGCAGAAGCTAAGGCAGGGGAGCAAGGTCAACGACATTAAAATGCAGAATTGAGCGGTGATACCATTGCGACCTCTGATTATAACTTTACGACATGGAGAATACAAGAAAGTAATATGCCAAGGGTTTCCCTAGGCAGGGTAACTAATTGCTTCGTAATAGCACAATTAAGTTGAACCAGGCATACCCCATAAGTACAGTAATTATGACCGAAGGGAAGAACTGAAAATGCATAAAACGGGAAGAAAGCAAACTCTCAGGGGTAAGGTAGAGTGGCAATGTGGTTATGAGCCACAGTTCCAATCCAAAGCTTCCCATTGGCTTCCCTAACTTCACTCACTAACTTCATAACCGCACCCTTCCTATCCTCAAGAACTTCCAAGATCTCTCCTTCCTCACTGAACAGCGAGATGACCGTGTACATCCGCATCCCCATTGGCCTCGCCAAAATGCTCATTTTTATCGGCAATCTGAAGTAGATGCTCTTAAACCATGGATTGTGACTGAGAAGCTCTTGTGCCGGCGTCCTGCAACAATCTATGGCCACCCAGAACTGCCCTTTCTCGTTAATCCTCACATTGTCCGGATAGCCTGGAAGATCTGCCACGACTTCAGTTGTCCCGATTTTTGGACCCTCCAGCCAGTACTTCATCAACCTGAGATGCAACTCCAAATTTAATCAGTCTGAGGTGACGCGATGCATCAACTAGTCTGTTTCACAACTACACTCCTCATAAATTCTACACAAGTGTACATATTTAATCTAACGGGGAAGCAAACCGAAATCATTAGAAGCAAAATCCAGAACTTCTATTTGGAAATGGTGGTTGAACAGAGAGTACAAGTCATATCGGCAATTGTGGTAGCAGTAGAGTACCTGCAATTGGTGGTCTCAGTGAAGAGGAGGAAGTTTTGGTTTCTAGACAATTGGACTCCATTGGGGAAGGCCAAGCCTTCCAAAACGACATGAGTTGTATTAGTGGGGGGGTCGTATCTGAGGAGCCTCCCAGTTGCTTCTCCTTCCAGCAGTATATAGAAATGGTTCCTTCACATAAAAACAGTCACAATTTCCTCGCTTATAACGAAAAATTTGAAAGCAAAAAGACCTTAAAAGTACTCGTACAGAACCATTATATCTTTGAACATGCTTATGTTGATCATAGTGTATTTTGTCCCACAAAATTCAACAAGAAAAGAAGAAGAGAACATGGGTGCAGTGTGATTTTCACAGAAATTATCTTATAAAAAAAGAGAGAGGAGCATATAGGAATGTGTCATGTTTCACTTACACTCTGTCATATCTGGTGCTGGTATCAGTGAAGAAGATGGAGCCATTGCTGTGGAGGTCAAGGTCATTTGCAAAGAGAATTGGTTTACCATGCACATGTGTGGCCAAAGGAGTTGCATATCCTCCTTCCGGTCCAACCACCAGCAGCCCAAAATAGGCATCTGCTATGTAAAGCTGTCCACTCTCCTTGTTGAACCTCAGCCCCAGAGGCCTCCCACACTTCTTCTCCACCTTCCATTGCTTTGGTGTGGTTGAGTCCACCCCTTTTGCGCACACTTTCTCTGACCTAATAATTCTCATAAATGTCACTCCCAAATCACATGTTAGCTTGTTGATATGACATGAAATGTTAAATACTAGAGAAGTTGATGGCATTACGTTTATGTTGGCATGATGGCGATTGTATCTAATCGTCTCTTCAGTTGTAAAGTGGTGCATTTAAAATTAATCTATTTTTTTTTTTTTTGGTAAAGGCCGATAATGACAGTGATTATTATATCCCAATGTTAAATTAATCTATTTTTGGTTCGCATACATGTCAAGATCAAGTCATTTGCACCTTTTTCTTCGGTTAATTACTGGATACATGCTCGAGTATGGAACTGTTGTACTGTGGAGTTTTGAAAGGTGTTTCAAATGCTGTCTGTTGTCAATGAGCAGTAATATAACTTGAGAACGCTCACCAATTTGGAGTTGCGAAAGCAAATGTCTCCCACCCAACGCCTTCCCCCATCCACCTGACGACCCGCCCGTCGGCAAGGCCGGTGTAAGGCCCGCGTCCCGACGGGTCGAACTCCAAAGACTCTGGCCCATAGACTTGGTCTGCAAACTCCAACTTCCCAAACCGCAGCTTGCTCTGGTTGTCTCTAGGCCAACTCTCCATGACCCTCTTGTAAGGTGCAATGGCATGCCTCACAGGCCTGAACTCATGCCCTCCCACTGGCCCCACATTGAATGGGTCCACCATGCAAAACCCTAGCAACGCTACTGCGACAACATACACTAACAATTGCTGCAGTGAGGTCTCATCTTTGAGGGAACCCTTTTTCTCCATCTTTCTTCAAAGGGATCCAAATGCAAAAGGACAGAGGGGTTTCCACTCTTTGTGGGTGTTCTTGGGTATGAGGGTTGTGATGTGAAAGTGCGAAGTTGATCGTGGTGATTGGTAGGGATTGATATGATAAAGAGAAGGGTGAGCATAGGAATTACATGCATTGTATATGAGGGGATTGGAAATGTTTGGAGGGGGAGTAGGTGGTCTGCTGGCCTGGATTGTGTGTTCATCTGTTTTTCCTTGTTTGTAGTAAAACCAACACGAAACCAACTTTTCCATTTGAGAAAGTGGCCAAGTCATAGCCTAATTTGGTGTGACATGGAACCACGGCTGGCCTAAAGGATACTTAATGAGTTTGCGCAAAAAATTCATTTTTCTTTCTTTTTCCTTTTTTTAAGATAATACGGGCATTTAAATCCTTGACTCAACTAATTACTAGGAATGCATGTAATTCACCACATTCACATGCATGTGCAAAGCTTTATTCATAAGGTGAAACGGACAGTTTTTAAAGTTATTTTGAGTGGGAGACGCTGTGATTTGAATTTAGGATCGGCGATATCTAAACCAAATGCTTCACCGTTCCACTAACCTTTGGAAGTTACTTGGTGCCTTATACCATTTGTTTGTTAGCTACTGAATCATGCTAATCGATGCATCTATTAGTCGATACTATGTATGCAATAATCTCTTTAGGACTAGAGACTAGTTTTTTCAACAAAAGATAACGCGCAGCGCCACTCTAATGAATGGATCCTAGATGTTGTTTCACGTAAACGTTCTCGTATTAAATACCTCGCAAGAAGAACATTGCCAAAAGAAATTTGGTTGAGTGATCGATCAATCATGAGATGTCTCGCAATAAAGCACCCTACAAGGCTAGAACTATCCTCGGTTTTAATGATAAAAGGCTAAAAGGTTCCAATAGAGGCTGGGGTGTCGATGGAAACGTGGCTGAGACGTGACTTGCATCTATCTATTTATCATGTTAATGGGTTCGTTGGGAGTTGAAACTGTGATTCTTCTGCCTCTTTATTCCTGTGCTAGATCCAAATATTGTACACAGGGAAGGATTGAGATGATCCAATGCAGTGGCCGGCACATAAATCTAGCTTGAGGGGGGAAGATAAAAGAAATTATAATACTTAGCTAGGGCACGATTTGAAGAGACTTTACATGGAATTTCATGTATTATACATTTAATGAAAATTGCACCAAGCACCAAGCACCGTGCGGCTAAAGGGTGAGGGCACTGGCCAGCTCCTCAATCTGTCACCGATTCGTCGGAAAGCATAATGAACATACATCAATGGGAACCCATGAAGAGTAAATTCATATCGAGTACGGTCAAGACAAAATGATTTTTCTGTGTTGAGATTAGGGTTTATTTCAAAACATTAATTTGATAAATTAGAGGCGTTGGCAAAGGTTTTGACCACCTAAAGATATATACATATACACATATATAATACTTTGCAAGTTTCACAAACAATATTAAGTGCGGACTTTAATTTCAAATTAGCATATTCATATGTATGGATGGAACTTTTAAATGAGCATAATCTTCATAAAAAGAAAAAAACATGGAGCAAGATATAAAAAAAATACCAGTTAAAGTTTTATAAAACATAAGGAGAGAGGTTCAGATGTCTAAACATCTATGCGAACTCTTTTCGGAGAATCTTTGTGACATCTTTTGCAATAATCATGTCTCAAAGAATGATTTGATAGGGCAACGAATTCTTAATCATAATCTAATAAGGGGAGAGAGATTTCACCACAGCTTAATGAGAGTGCACATCTTCATGCTAAATCAAACTTCTGTAGTGGAATTCACGCTATAGTGCACTTATATGGGTAAAATCGCTTCACATTTAAAAAGATCTAGTTGTCTAAGAGCAATGACTAACTGGGCGTTGGTCCATCATTGGTAATTCATGTACCATTATCATGCTCACTTTGGGTCCGTTTGCTTCGCGAAAAATTAACAATTTGAAAAAATATTTTTCTAAAAATAATTGGTTATATCGTTTGAAATAATTAGCCAACAAAAAGTATTTTCATTATCGACAATAATTTATACCTAAAATTTTTCGTGGACGATGAAAATATTTTTCGTTTCATAAATTTTATAAGCAATACAAGCGATCATGTTTAGGAAAATGTTTACCAAAATGTGGATTTTCTGCTAAACAAACGAACCCTTAATCTTCTTTTTGGCCACATATTGATGTACTCAGCTGGGATAAATATTCTTGCTCCTTTCCAAACTCTATCGTCATTGCTTTCTAAGACGAGACACTTTTACATTCACGTGTGCACCTAATTTATATGGAACCGTTACACTAAATAGGCTAAATATGATCCGATAGTTGACACGCTTTTGGCCTGCATGAAATGGGTGCATCGATTTGTCAAAAGTACTTAATAATCTTTTTTTTCAAGTCATTCTTGTCATGTGTGTCTATAGAGAAAATGGCAATGTCTCCTCAATGCACAAATATTTATGATATGAAATGATGACAAAATACCTGATGGATTTGGGGCGATCTAAACACGTAACCTTGGATGATTAAAAACATCAATGCTTTGTCTCCAAACTCCTTCGCCATAATTGTAGTCCGCGTGATTGCCATCATAAGTCTATTAGAAAAATATACTTGTCGTGTGTAATCTTTTTTCAAAGTGTAAATAAATGAAATCAAGATTTGACTTAAGTCCAAAGAAATATACTTTTGTTTTCGCATTTCAAAATTCACAATCCTCATCTATAGATCCGGAGAAAAAGCCAGAAGAAACAACAAACGAAATACGCCATCAAAGATTCCTCAATTTTCAATTACCGTCTCGTCCACGGCGAATAGGAAAGTGTGACATCGATCCACGAACGCAATCGTTGCATCCTCCGAAGTCCGACGTGAGAATCTTCTTCTGTCTTTAGTCGGTCGTTCATCTTGCCACGAAGTTAAACCAATAAAGATCGTTTCTTTTAAAGTCTATACCTGTTGGCGAAATAAAAGTGCAATTCTTGGAAAAGTAAAAGGGCGAGCTTCTTTCAAAAGAGAAAAAAGAATGACAGCAAATAAATGGGAGAGATCTCACCTCGAGCTGTCGATGAAGCTTCCCGTCTTGACTAGGTAAATTTATCACCAAAAACCCAAATGAGCCCTTGATCAGATGACCTGTTAGCTGGTTATGAAACAGACCCAGGTTCTGAAATTTCTCCTCAACAGCTAAAGGTTGGATTTTTTCTCCTTTTGCCCCCACTTCTCGTTTTTTTAGCTTTGAACAGCACGAGATATTTGAATTTATGCATCTTGACCCTCATTTTTATGGTTTCTTGAAGCATGCTTTTTGTCCTTTTGCGGTGTAATGGCTTGGTTTCTGCGTATGTTAGGCAATTTCTGTTGATTTTGGTATGCATTTCCACATGCAGCGATTCTTTTTCCTGGTCGAGTGGATTATGAATCTTGATTCGGGGCGGAGCCCTGATATAGAAATTGGATGATCCGTATGATTGTGGTGGTTCTAGTGGGTTAACCTGCTTTCTTGTGTTGATTTTGTCAGCTTATTAAGCTGAATTTCGGGCATCTGATCTGCTCCTTTTTCCATGTGATTTAATTTGTGGGTGCAAGCTGTGGTTTATGTGTGTTTGGCCTCCTAACCTTGTTCTAATGTTCAAAATATCTGCAGAGCTTCAGCTTGCTTTTTGGGTTTTGGCTGTTGATCCTTCTCTGTTGAAATGGATGCAGATCTAACTTGTCTTCTTAAATATCTGTTTTCTCTTTTCTGGGTGAAGAATTTCAAAGAATTCATAGGAAGACACTGATTTAGATGTCAAGGATATTCTATAAAGACTGTCCTTTTCTTCGATGCGGCGTAGATCATTATGTGCCAAAGAAACCTCAAGGAAGATTTTGTGCGAAAAAATTTGGTTTACTGATGTGCTTCTGGGTTCTCCATATTTTGGAAGAAGTGATAGTGGTTGACTAATATGTGCGTGGCAATCTGTTTCTGATAGCTCTTTTTGTTGATAAGTTGCTTGAGCCTTCAGAAGTTTCTTTTCAAGTACTTGGCTCAGTCATCAGATGTACTCTGAAGATTGATCTGTCCCTTTATGTCATCATTGGATCGATTTGTGTCTCCATTGATAGTTAGGTCGGTAAAAGTGTTGGAACTTGGAAGTGGCTACTGCCCTCCATATTCTTGATTAGGTATAAGTAAGCAAAAGAATGAAGATTATTTCACCGATTTGCTCTCTAACACACATGTACTTGTGTTCTGTGTTCCTACTTTGAGAGGCATGGACACTTTGCTAAGTGGTCTCTTTTTCCTGTCTCTGTTTCTCCCTCCTGCTATTATGATATTATGAGTAAAGTAAAATCGATTTACAAAAAGAACATGCCTTTTTAATTTGACAGCAGGGATCTTCCTGCCCGGTATGCTATATTAGGTGAAGTGAGCGGGACAATAAATTTAGAGGATCAGTGGATCTTCGGTGTTTTTTCACCTCCTCACCTCAGTGGTGAAACAACATATTCATCATTTGTGATATTTCTTAATGTTCTTTGTAATCTTGAATTATTTGATGGTGCAGTCAATCAGGGGAAATGTGCAGCTCTGCCGACGCAAGTGATCCTCAGTGGATAGAGAAAGTCAAGTCAGAGGGGGCTGTTCCATGCCTTGATCCTGATAACTGTCCAAACGGATGGGCTTCTCCACCTGGAGACATATTCATGGTTAGAGGTCCAGAGTATTTTGCAAACAGGGTCAAAATTCCCGCTGGCGAGTATCTCTTGAAGCCTCTTGCATTTGATTGGATTAAAAGCTCTTCAAAAGTCTGGGAGGTCATGAACAATCCAAATAACCGTGTGAGGAAGGCCATCGAAACTGAATTTCCTGATGGGGACAGACCTTTTGTATGGGCTTTCAATCTCCAAGTGCCAAGCAAGGATAACTATAGTGCTGTTGCGTATTTTGTAGCCAAGGAACCTATTCAAGAGGGTTCCCTGATGGACCAGTTCTTAAGAGGTGATGATGTGTATAAAACCTCGCGTCTCAAAATGATTGCAAACATCGTGAAGGGTCCTTGGATAGTTAAAAAGGCTGTTGGAGAGCAGGCTATTTGCATAATTGGACGTGCCCTTACCTGTAAATATGTTGTATCCGACAATTTTATAGAAGTAGATGTGGATATTGGGTCCTCGATGGTTGCCAGTGCGATTGTTCACTTGGCATTTGGCTACATCACGACATTGACAGTTGATTTGGCTTTCCTTATTGAGAGCCAGACACAGTTGGAGCTACCAGAAAGAATCTTGGGCGCTGTTAGATTCTCAGAGCTGGACCCTGCTTCAGCGAGGCCAATGGAACCGTTTGATTGTACTAACGTAAATTTACAATCCTCTCTTTCCAGTAGATGGTGGAGGTCCATCGGTCAAGGGTTTTCCCATTTAATTAGTCAAAGCTCCCAGGAAAGCAGCTCTCCTTCTGGATCAGTGCACAGTAATGGCATTGGCGGTGATAACAAGAATGACAAATTATAAAATGGTAAGCTGTTCAAGCATGTTTTAATGCATGATACTATTCTAATAGCTAGTTATTTCTTTGTTCTTATTTCTTATGCATTTCCACTTTCCAGGGAGAATCAATTGCTAAGCTAAGATTCAGTATACCTTCTCGTGAGCACTCTTCTTTAGCACAGCTTTTACCTATTAAAGGAGATCTTTTGACACAGGAACTTTAACAAGAACTAGTCAAGGTTTAAGAGCTCATAACAGTGGAAAAAGTGATTCATCTTCATTAGACACAAGGTGCTCTTTTTTTGGAGAGATCTCCACTTCTGTTAAAAAGATCAGAAAATTGTGCAATGACAATTGATTACAATATCACCCTTAGGACTCCAACCAGAAAAGAGTTCACCTTGTGTCCGACTTCCGGACCTGACTAGAAGGCCTTCAAGTTTGTAATGGGAATTACACTCATGCTTATGTGGTTGTATCTGATGCTTGCCAGTGCCACAATATTTGTAGTGGGAAGTCAATTTAAGTGTTCAGGCTCTTGATACATCATCCATCTGTCACTGAGGCTCTTTGTTTTCAAATTAACTAGGACATATTCTGCTATTCACTGGTCTTGGCACACACTGCATCCAACAAAACTGCTAAATTGGTTATCGATTTTTTCAAAACTTTCTTACTTTTCTCCAGCAAACTAAATTGTTGCAAAGAGTGCGTGTGTGAGAGAAAGACAGAGATGCATCACTGCCCTTTTCTGTTTGTTGATAATATATCAGCATTTGTTGTATATTGGTTTCATACAGATTATATTTGCCACATGCAGAGTCAATGTCGGTTTCTGGAAGCATTTCGCGCTATCAAAGATTATGTCCACTTATGAAGAATTTGGGGACATCTACGCTGACATGTACAGCTTTGCGCTTGCTCATGCTGTCTGATACTTCATTCATCTGTAGAGTAGATCATATGGCTGAGGACCAATGACGATTTTTTTGTCTACCCATCTTTGACGTCTGCAAGGGCCTTGTATTTATGTGTTGCCAACATTGAATTGAATGAAAACTGATATGCCCTGCAGTTTGTGAATATGATTCAGCAATACATATTAAGTGGGTATTTATTTTTCCAATAGAGGGTCTAGTTCTGAGTATATGGATTGGTGTAGGTGATGGCTAACACTTGGTTTTTAGAGATACACCCCTTTGTTCTGCCCATCTTATGATTCTTATGAATTCTCTCTAGTTGCCAATCACCTCATACTACCAACTTATGAAGTAACGCTAGGAAATGGAAAGATTTGGATTATGAAATTGATTTATAAAGTCACGGCAATTTTAAGAGATATTCAAACAAGCATGACACATTCTAGAATCCTAAATTCTAATTCGTTAATTTAGTAGTAAAGCTTTAGGTGAATGTTTCAAGAAGCCTATCCCCTAAAGACTGGATGTATTCACGTAAGCGGCAATGTCACGTCAGGATTCCTATCCTATTCAACTGATGAATTTAATAAAAGGGATAGATTGGAGGTTAGTACGATGAGTTTGATGCATCCCCCCATTGGTCAATTTTTAGTTCAGACCTATCTTTCGAAGAGATTTTATGTTTTTCAAAGCCCTTTTCAAGAAATGTCCAAATCTAACCGATACGAGGACAAAATTCTTGTACATTTTAGTCGATAATCAACATGATTGAAGAAAGAAACCAATAGTTCAAGAAAGCCTGAAAAAGACCATTCAGAAGTTTCTCTCTCTCATCAACGAGTTCAATCTCCTAGTAGTCACTTTGATCAAAACTGAAACTGAAAACTACTCGAGATGTTGTCAAAACAAAATCTCTGTAGAAAGCGTCACGTCCTTGCAAAGTGCAAATTAGAAAAGGCCGACCTAAGCCGATACGCTGCAACTACCAGATCATGAATTTGCTGCTTGGGTTGCTAAGTGTGAGAGCCCGTGAAAGTCTTCTGCTAAATCGGCAGATAGACGAAGCACAAACATTATCAGATGCGAGTAACACTATATCTGGACACCATCTTCCCAGGAGCATAGATGGAGCTAGCAAAGGCTAACAACCGAGCCATGCGCCCCGCAACATATCTTACTCGCAATAACTATAGAGGCTCAAGAAAGGCCATGATTTCCTTTTTGTTTACACACTCCTCTGGAATCAAAACCTGTGTGTACATCCATCACTTGCCAATAGACCATAGTTGCAGAGGGAGATATTGTGCAGAATCTCAAGGTTCATCATACCATATGACACTAAAACAGTGGAGAAAGAGAACGAAAGCATTGCAATTGATCTTGATAACTCACTGGACTACATCAAAATGCAGGAGAACCGGATGGAAAAGCCTGATGATCAGAACGACAAAAAAGTTGCGTATGCACTTGATGCAAAGACGGAAGGTGTAACATATGCTTGCTTATTGTTAGTGTCATGCATATTGAAAAAGAATCACCAACCGTCCAATTTAAAAGTTTCCGATCATTGCCACACAACTTGAGAAGTGAGCAAGCGATTGTATGGAGAGGGGAGACACAGCAGACAGAAGCAGGGAATCCTACTAACACGAGCATAAAAAGCATGAACTTTATCTTACCTTACCAAAAAAAAAAAAGCATGAACTCCAACAAATTCTGGAAATAGTTATACAAGTAATGCAGCCTATAAAGGTGTTAAAAAACCTTTACAACTATTCCTAATTCATGCCAGTAGGTAAGACATTTGACGTGCCACCACGACAAAAGAAAAAAGTAATTTCGTCATGGAAAGTAATCTGCTTGATCCGGAAACAAGTAAAGACAAAAACTCAAGCATATACTGTAAGGTTAATAATACACTGAATCTGATCGAGTCCCAAGAGTTAATCCATTTTAAGATCCTCCTACCTACGAAATGCAGCTCGTGTTGATGTTGGTCAGGTGCTTTGCAGAATGAACAGGTACCAGGACTTGAAAAATCTGCTAGTGTAGACTTTTGGGATCTTAATTTACCAATCAAGAAAACCTCTTAAGAGGTCTAATACGAATAAGCATCGCAATATTGAAATGAGCCACTGCAAAATCTACAATTTCACATTTTTCTTTTTGGTGAGGGGAAAAGATGGAGGGAGAGAGAGAGAGAGAGAGAGAGAGAGAGAGAGAGAGGCAACGCAACTTCATAAAGAATCAAATATTCCATAGTAAAGCTTCATGGTTTGATAGCTACTCTAATTAGGTTGATTAGTCAAGGTTGCAAGAGAATCACTCAAATCATGGTTCAATCAGGTTGATTGGTCAAAGCTTGCAAGAGAATCACCATCTAAGTGATCCACATCATAAAAGTATCACCTGAAGACCATCATCCCCTAAATGATTAATGCTCTTAGAACAACTTGCCAAATGAATCTATCGGAACAGTTCAAACAACCAAGAATACATTTTCCAACTAAACATTGTCATAAAGAATAAGAAAGCTTCTTCATTTGACAACAGACCGAAGGAGATAGCTAACTCTATAATATGCACCACAAATGGAAGCAATGACAACCATCTGCTAGTGTAATAATGTAGACAAATGGTATCAGTACCATACAATAGAGTGATTCACCAAAACACATTTACAGAATACTATAATCTTCATGCAGCGAATAAAATCTTGGCAAGAAAAAATCACTGTTATATTGTGCATCATGAAAAATCTCAAAGTGAGTCAAGACCCAAGCTAGCTCCCACCCTTATAAGAGAAGGAAGAGGGGCTAAAGGTCACACGAGTTCAGCACCTCCAACTGGAAGCGCAGTCATTTGCAAAGTTCTACCATTCCCGGTTGCGACAAATCGCAAAGAAGGCAAGGAGGGATCAGTAACAGATTCAATCTCGAGAAAGTTTAAATCATAGGCGCCGGATCGCTTCAAACTATATATGAACAAAACCACAACCCATCCCAGCATTGAAATAGCCCAATAACTGTTCATTCCATGAATCACACCCCAAGCAACAGCATACCCGACAATGATTCCCGATAAATGCCCAAGGAAACTTGCCTGGGGAACGATGATAGAAGTGAAAATTAGGGACTCAAAAGGTGCAAAACTGATGGGAAGCGAAAGGAACCCGAAAAGGTCAAGCTTCGATGAGGGCTGCTTCACAGCAAGAATCGTCATCCACCCAAAAACAACACAGGAATACCCAACAGCCGTGACTCTCCGAAAATACTCTACCTTGAATCGATGAATCAATACATGGTAAATGCCCAAAACAAGCACCCCCGACAAAACGACCAGAACAAGGGTGTACTCCAGATAATACGCCACGCCAAGACCCATGAGCCCCAGCTGCTCCACTACTCCAAGACTCCAAAGCGCACTCATGTTGAAAACAAGATGCAAGACGCTAATGTGCGAAAACGCCGACGTAATTATCCGCCAATAGTGCCCTTCGACGGCGGCGTCGTAGCTCAGTCCAACATGCGAATAACCAATCCCTTTCTTCTGAATGTAGAACCATATTGCACAGCACAATCCTATGACACAGCTCGTCGCAGGTTTCTCCAAGATCTCGTAAAACAAAGGCTTCCCCATCTACTAAAACCTCAATTACCTTCTTGCTCGCCCGCACATTGGAACTTTCACGACTGCAAACAGCGTGAGATTCGCTCTCGAATTATTCGGCAATATCAAGAAAACCCAGATAAAAAAAATCCGAGAAATTGCCAGGAGACGACGAACTAGAAACTTGGCTTTTCAGACCCAGTCGAAGAGACGTTCTTCGGTAGAGATTCCCCTCAATATCTTGGGCTCAAGAAAGGAATCCAAGCTGGTTGGATATGAATTTTGCACTTCCAAAGACCCAGAAAAAGCTGATTGAATCTCGAGAATTCGCAGCAGTAACTTCTCACCTTCAGGTCCAGTACTAAATCTTTCCGTTCCTCGCAAACTCTAGATTTAACCAGGTGACCGACCGGGTCGCCGCGCGCCGTCTAGCTGACGCTCGCTTGCGGGGTGGGTGTACGTATATATGAACTCCGGGAGATCGCACTTCTTCTTGTTTTTTGCCTCTGGAATTCTCGTCTCTTGCCTCGGACAAAGATCGGCTCCATGAGCAGAGAGAGCACTGGGCCAAATCTCGAATGGGCTTTAAGTTTTTTTTCATGTATCCTGTCGAAAGTGCATCGACAGAAGCCGATTCGAGGAACATGAACTTACGGGAACAACAAAAGGAAAGGAGTTGCAGCCTGATCCAAGACTGCTGCAGGGCCTTTGAGAGCTTTGCATATCTAATGTCACAATGTTTCCGGTGGAAATTACAAAAAAAAAGTCTTAACTTATCGCAATTATGCCAATTCAATCCTAAACCTACTTTTTAATCGTGCCAATTTATAGTCTTAAACATTTTCACGTTTTGTCTATTAAGTCCATTTGGTCAATTTTACCCAGAATTCGCTGACGTGGACGTTAACCATCTTACGTGGCATGATCGGCGTTAATGTTGATATTTTTAATAGCTTTTTAATAATCTTTTCTTTTTTCAATATATTTTTTTCTTTCATTTTGGCCAACAAATGTCATGTCCCTTACCCAAGCTAGTGGGGCCGCCAAGGCTCTGGGCAAGGGCCTTCATGCCTCACTCAAGGTCGGCAAGGCCATCACAAGTGAGGGCCTTTTCACCCTCCTCCGCAGTTGATCAGGCCACGATGGCTTTGCCCAGGGCCAACGCGACCTTGCCAACCCTGAGCAAGGGCACGAAGGCCCTTGCCCAAGGCCTTGGTGGCTCGTCGGCCGCGAAAGAGGTGGCCCTCGCCCAGATCTTGTGAGTGCCTAGGCGAGGGTTGCAACCATCTTAAGTGGCCTGTGTGAGGGCTTGTTGGCCCTTACCATCGGCCGGCGAGGGCCCGGCCAAAATGAAGGAAAAAAAAAAGAAATAAAGAACATAAAAAAAATTTGTAAAAGTTGTCCACGTCAACTCTGATTTTGTCACATAGGATGGCTAGCGTCCACATCAGCAATTTTCATTCGGAAGAATTCAATTAGCAAATTGTAAAAAAGTTTAGAACTAAATTGACACAATTAAAAAATTTAGGAACTGAATTGACACAATTACAATGTGTTAGAACCTTTTTCATAATTTACCCAATTATTTCTTCATACGTAACAAATCTCAACCTTCTTAAAGTCTTCATTGTCATATGTTCATATCATCGACCATGGTGATTAACTTCTTAAATTAATGCATTGTCATCATCAATCTACTTTTCTTAGGTAGAATGAAAACCTAAACTACTAGGCATTAAGGAAAACATACTTGCTTAAAGGGGTCATTTTGCAGTCATCTAGTAATTGAAATCCGAGATTCGGTAATGTATAGGAGGGATCAACACTCTGCGATACTCTTTCGGTGCAATGGCAACAATGATCGGAACTATAATTTAATATGAAAGAGATCGCGTGTAAATTAACATGACATGATAATTACACCGCATTACGGTATGGCGAGAATGATCGGACATGATGACGAGCCGCCGATGATACGGTAATATAATGTTGTAACATGATCCAAGAGTTCGACTTTTCGATTCAGTGACGACATCACTGGAGAGCAGAAGAGACATACCGAATAAATCATTAGCAAATATTAACCATTCTCTGTTCTACGGGGTGGATATGACTTGGGTGCAACAGAAGCTACCAACCCTAATTGCACATTCTCCTTTGTGGTTCACCCACTAGGCAATAACATTCATTTTCTTAATCTCTACAACCACCAGCCTATTTCTTCTGTCTTTTCTTTGTTTTGAGTCTATATAAAGCCATGACACATCAACCGAAACTTAGTATCCCACACACCAAATCGTCATGCGAAGCACCAAAGTACAGAACCACGCATGAGCAGCAGTGAACCTGAACCACTTCATGATGATCTCCATCATCAACTCAACGATCACGATTACAGTTTGCAAGCCGGTGATCGTCACGACGAAGGAATCATAGTTAGTGTGTGCGAGTATCGCCGAGGCCGCGAATACTGGCACGCGAGGCAAGCGTTCCTAAGGAGCTACCATTTCTCCTCCTCGTCGCCGCCGCCAGAAGAAGATCATTGCGATCATGACCGTCGCGATGATCATGATCGGGCAAGTGGGTTTAAGGGGAAGCTCAAGAGGTCGATGAAGGGTTTTAATGAGACCGCTGCGGGAGTCGTAATGGAGGTCCGTCGAGGAATGATGTCCAAGAGGAGGCTCAAAATTAGGGTTTTCAGGGTCAAGCTCAATGTGCATTCTTCTTTGGTTGCGCTGACCATGAGATGTTTCATTCCCTGGTTTAGTAAAGTTGAGCGTGTGCGATGATCCACAGCTCAACTAGGTTTTACACCAAGAGTTCTCTATGTGAATATAATTGAGGTCAAAAGGTTGTAACTACTCTCCTTCCAAACACCATACACTCCTATCATGATTTCAGAACGATTTGACACCAAAAGTTCTCTATGTGAATATAATTGATTGACCTCTTGTGAGCTTGGCAAGAAGTACTCATGTCCACAGAATTTTTCAAAATTTATAAAAATTGACATTTTATGCCACACAGAACAAAGGGTAAAGGAAAAATTCTACTTCTCGACATCGTACTTTAACCTTTTCGAAATTACGCGATTAATACCGCACGATTTGAGCTCACGGTTTTGTCTTGGGAAAAATTATCCAAAAAGTCTTAAATTTATTGCACTTTTGTCAATTCAGTCCTAAACCTTTTAATTTTGTCAATTGAATTCTAAACATTTTCACGTTTTACTAAATTTTTTGGCCAATTTTAACCGGAAATCCCTGATTGGACGTCAATAGTGCCACGTAGGATGAGCAGCGCTGACGTGGACAATTTTAAATAATTTTTAAATAATTTTTTGAATATTTAAATAATTTTTTATACTTTTTACATTTCTTTATTTTTTTATTTTTCTTCTTCCAAGTCCGACCAGTCACGGGCGAGGGCCGGCCGACCCTCGCTGACCACAGGATAGCGCCCACGACCCTCGCTGGCCGCTGGGCAAGGGCCGCAACTGGCAAGGGTTGGCCGATGACCCTCACCGGACTTGGAAGAAGAAAAAAAAAAGAAAGAAAGAAAAGAAAAGAAAAGAAAGAAGAAGAAAAAGATAATTAAGAAATTAATATATTATTTAAAATTATCCACGTCGGTACCGGACGTGCCACAAAGGGCCAGCAATTTCTAAATAAAATTGGCCGGATTTGCTCAATTGGCAAAACGTGATATTATATAGACCTGAATTGTCAAAAGTGCAATAGGTTAAGATTTTTTAGACAAATTTTCCTCCTGTCTTGCATTGCACATGTTCCTCTCAAAGAAACGTCTTTGATTTCTCAGCAATCGAAGCAACATCTATCCCTATCCCTGTTCAAGATTGATGTACTGTGCTGGACACCGTGGGTCGAGCTACCATAAAAGATCTGTTCTCTCTGAGAACGGCACACACACATGGGGGTGTGACCCCACCAAAGCCTCGGTGGATGTTGAAGATTTCATGCTTTTGATTCGGGCCAAAATTCGTATCTCCTTATCTTCTCAGCCCCCTCAACTGTCCACCAAACACTCTCGTGTGTAGCTTGCAGTCATCAATCATCCACACACACACACACACAAACACAAGAACGCAACAATATCTCTCTGAGCCTCCTCTTTCTTTCATTCCCTCCATATCTTGATTCTCTCTCTCTCTCTTGTTCTCTTCATTCTTAAAACTGCTTCTGAACTTGTCTGTTAATCTCTCAGCTTGGCCTGAGAAGGGCATTTGTCAGAAGTAAATATTGCTGCTTGTTTCAGAGAGCTCACTTGTAGAGGTTGATAGTTGAAGAAGAAGAAGAAGATGAAGATACAGTGTGATGTGTGCGAGAGAGCACCGGCGACAGTGATATGTTGCGCGGATGAAGCTGCGCTGTGTGAGAAATGCGATGTGGAGATTCACGCGGCAAACAAGCTCGCGAGCAAGCACCAGAGGCTTCTCCTCAACTGCCTCTCCAACAGCCTCCCTCCCTGTGACATTTGCCGGGTACTAACCCTTTTCTTCTTTTTTGTTTTCCTTTTCTGATGTGTGTCAGCAGATGTTGATTTGCCTTTTAATTTGTTCTTTGAGTTCTTGTGTCCTTAATGGGCAATCTGGTTTGAAACAAATCTCGTTCGCGAGCCATTTGAAGCTAGTGAAATATATACTGAGCCGGTTGCACACTCAACTTTTTATCTTGTTCGAAGTAATTATTTGGTTTTCTATTAGCTTCAGCTTTTAGTTCATACAGAAAGTTGCTTATCATCGCAACTGATGATTCTTTTTTCTGTTCAGTTAAATTATTTACGGATCAATCTCTCTGGCTAAATGTAGTGGCTGCCTATTACTCAATTTTACAGACTCAATCCTTCTCTTTTTGTCTGAAGCGCAAGATAACCCTGATGTGCAATAGAATGAATGGCAAATCCTTGTAGTTACTGACTGACCATAGTTGTTCTTAAATCATAAACATAGTGATTAACAATTTAACACCCTATTTTGGCCATAGTTTAGTTCCTTAGGGGCACTGTGAATTTTGCACAACTAGAAAGACATAATATGGCCAAACAAAACTGAACTACTTTGTCTTTTCAGCTTTCTAACTTTGCAGATTTTGTGGTCATTTTACGGTGATACGAGGTACATACATTGTTTTCCACTCTAGTTCCATAATTTCATGACCAATTCGACATACAGGAGAAGCCGGCGTTCATATTCTGTGTCGAAGACCGAGCTCTCTTCTGTCAGGACTGTGATGAACCGATCCATTCAGCGGGGAGCCTCTCTGCAAACCACCAGAGGTTCCTAGCCACCGGAATTAGGGTGGCTCTAAGATCTAGATGTACCAAGGATGCCGACAAAACCTACTCGGAACCACCGAACCAGAGCTCTCAACCAGTTAAAACACCCCGCCAACAGGCTTCTGTCTCGACTTCGCCATGGGGCGTCGATGACTTGTTGCAGTTAGCGGATTTCGAATCTTCTGACAAGGTGAGATAAAGCGTGACCACTTTGGACTATACATGCGAATAATGTTCTGTGCTTGGGTTTCTGGTGATTGCTGTTTTCCTAAAAAATGTTACACATTGTTCTGTTATTTCTAGAGCTCGTTTTGATTTGTAATTTTTTTTGCAGAAAGAGCAGCTCGAGTTTGGAGAGCTAGAGTGGCTTGCAGACATGGGGCTTTTCGGCGATCATATCCCACAAGAAGCGGCTGAAGTACCTCAGCTGCCGATGCCGCAGTCGAGCAACTTCACTTCCTCCAAGACCTCCAAATTCAATGTCTCTCACAAGAAGCCAAGGATTGAAACATCGGACGATGACGAGGAGCACTTCACCGTCCCTGATCTCGGATGAGAATGGAGGAGTTAACTTTCGAGGGTAACGGTTGATAGATTTGTTCATAGTCTGGTGTGTTAGTACCTAGTTACATATATATGTGTGCACACGTAATGCATATACATCTTAAAGTTACTCGTTGAATTGCTTTAGAAGCCGTCCTCAATATCATGGGTTAGAAGAAGGGCTATTTCTTCTACTAGATTTCGTTTCTTTTTCTTTGTTAGAATTACACTTAAAATTGACGGCTCTGTATTAAATGTTTCTGCTTATGCGTTACTTTGTGACGACGACGAAGAGTCGAGCTTATGCGTGGGTGAAATTTACGACAGTGTCGCTATACCCATATTCTGAATGAGTCTGCAGGTAAGTTCAGACAGTATAGCCACTTTGTGTGACCGCTCATCGCACCCTTCGGAAATAACATTGGATGGGCAAACCGTTACCATATGCTCACTCACCCTGAGGCATACCCTTTAAACAAGAGGAGGAATCATCAACATCAGGGATGCTTGGTCTCATGCAGCGTCTCCGAGTTTTGCCAAAAATTACAGCAGGAAGCTTCTCTTTACGATCGATTCCAAAATAATTTGAGGGCAAATGGAGACAATTCACCGTTGGATACATTGGCTAGCACGGGATATGGATTTGGAATAGGTCAGGACGGGAAAAGTAACTTCAAATCTATCCAACTCATTTTCAATTAGTGAATTTAACCAGTGTTCACATCGATTCAGCAACTTTATAGAACGAAAACTGTGTAATGTTTTCTAGTTTGTAATATTGTCATGTGATTAGGGACTTTCCAAATGGAGAAGTAACTATAGATCTATGAATTTAACAGCTCTTACATGAGGTTAGAAATTGTGCGAACAGAAATTTATATTGCATATTCAATGTGATCAATAGCTTATCAATGGGAAAAGTAACTTTAAACCAATTATACACCAGTAACTTCTACGAATGGTTGGCGTCAAAAGTATCAGTAGCATCTATTTTTCGGCCATATCCAAAAGCAAAAGGTAATGTTTTCAACACCTTAATTGCCAGTAACTTAGCATGAAAAGTTATTAACCAGTTAAGAAGATTACTTGCCAATCAGCAAAACGAGTTATCGGTTCTTGTAGCTTTTATTTGATCCAACGGTCCACATAATGGAGAAGGATTGAGATCTTTTTTTTTCTTCTAATTTGATTGAAGTGAGGAAAAGGCCCAAAAATAGCAAGACATAGATAGGCCTCAGGACCTCAGACCAGGCCAGGCAACACCAGTGGTTTAGATACACTGTTAATCAAGTCTGTCCTCCTTATTCCACCATTTAAGTGAATCTGTACTGATAAGAAATCGGAACCACTAGTCCAAAACAGAGATGAAACATCATAATTGCCGTGTTCGGAGAGGTTGTTATTTAGTCTTTTTGCCAACACTGCAATAAATCTTGCATGATCAATAACCGACGTCAACAAATTAAATTTAAGAGGGGCAAAAAAGAAGCCAACTGTACAAAACTCTTCAAAAATGCTACACAATGGACTCTTTCCTGTCGAAACATTACATGATTCAGTTCAGAAAAGCCAGTTGAGACTAATATTGCCAAGCCATAAGAAAAGTGGGAACTGTGCGAAAGCAATGAAGAGCAAGAGGTAGTGCAGCCTACTTGTATCGCAACTTCTCACCTCCGAAGTAAGCACTCTCTTCATCGTCTTTACCAAGAAAATGCCCATACACAAGCAGGCCAATGGCATCACAACAAAGTACGCGTATCTTAAGATGATTTTCCCGATAATAGACAAGCAAAGCCCCGCGAACGTGTACCCAGCATATGCCACGATGTCCAGCAAAGGTGGCTCGACACCACCCAGAGAAAGCAATGTGACTTTCAGCAACATTACTTGCAGAGACCAGCCAAGCAATCCTTTGACAAACAGCCATTGCAATGCTTCTGGACTAAACCTGAAAATAATCCCTTATTAATGTCTACCAAGAAGCTTGGGCAATACGAATTATCAGTACAAAGCAAGCTGAAATGCTAGCATTATTTGCGTGAAAGCAATTATGAGAGATCCGGAAAATAACTCGTCTTCAAAGACAAATTGAGGATGTCTGAGAAACAGAAGTATGCAAACTTCAACATCAGAAAAGGCAATACATACTGGCCCTGAAGTCCCAACAATAAGCCAGCAAGAACAATATAGGTGCCAAAAGCCATGAATGGGATGTACAAGTCCGGCGCGTTGATATCATAGATAGGGGGTTTGTATGAGAGCCTTCCTCCCACGGGTTCCGTTATTCGTGTCCAGTGACCCTGAAGAAAGGAATACACAAAGCAGATTGATGAAAGGACGAGCAAGAGTTACTAATGACGACTGCCCAATGAAGACATCACTTACTCTGTGAAGGAACGGGAATAAAACCACCTTCAACTTGTTCCTCACGTACTGATCATTTACTTGAAAATAGTACTGGGGATCAGACAGGTACCTACTAATCTGCTTGCACAGAAAGCAAAATCCAAAAGACGCCAAGTGATACTCGTCAGATAAAAATGCACATATGAAAATTAGGAGGTTCCAGAAGAATAGTCTACTACATCAAGAATTTCATCTCAGCTATGCATAAGTCTACATACTATATATATCCTGTGATAGAGAACAGAAGACCAGAACCGTCCTTCAAATCAACGATACACAATGAAAAGTTTTGATTTGAGCAACTCAAGAGCTTCCTTCTTGCTGTTATTGCAATCCACTCAAAACACAGGACTACCAGTTCCAGGCATCATTCAATGAAAAGAACAAAAATTCATATGTAGCTCAAAAGGCGAGTAACAACTATAAAGGGTATAACTTATCAGCGCAGTACTCACATTGCTTTGTACATACTCAGAGCTTGATCCCAAAAATTTCTCTCCATATGCACCCAGGCCGCCTCGAATAAGTCCAGAACTAGCTCCGTAAAGTGCATCTTCAAATGGGTGAGGCTGAGAACGTGTCGGTGGCCTAGGCGCCCCAGGCTGCAGCTGCGGATTGTTGTACATAGCTGCAGAAGAGGCAGCACACTGCACAACTACAAAAAATTCAATTAACCTGTGCCCATGCAAATGTTTCTCACAAAATAGACGTAACTAGTTTATTAAAAAGGGGCCTTAGGTAAACAATCGCTACGATTCAAATCCACATAAAGAGGTTATCTATTCTTTTTTTGGGTATAAGTTACTTGGTTTCCTAATTCATATGCGGCGAAAACTATGCCGAAAAAAAGTCGAATTTCACTTCCTCAATCAGTTTGCCAATTACGCGCGGATCATTCGAATGCTTTGACCCTTTTTCCCCTTAGGCCTACATGTCATGAGATTTCGCAGATTAATGGGCAAAGAAGCAGCCGGCATGATGTACCATCACGCAAGCATCGCTGCACCGAATTCATCATCTGACCAAAAAAAGATAAATCAAGTACGGAAACGACATATCCCTCATCGACTAACAAGAAAGGATCTTGCCAAACAATCATACGAACCCCCTCTATAAGCACGACGGACAAACAGCTTTCGACAGCTTCTTCCATTGCTAAAGAGTGTTTCGCCACTACCAGAACCCACCCTAAACCATAACCAAACCAAGCAAAACAAAGTGGGACATGAACCCAGGCAAAATCAAAAGGATACCAAGCCGCCCCCTAGAAAAGCAACAGGAACTGGAGGACCATCCAATCCACTGAACTCAAACCCTCCCCATCAAAAGCCAACTCAATTCCACCCCAATCAATCAACAGATGCACAAAAGCAACCGCGATCATAAAAAGAAACACGCGCGCGCGCGCGCGCGCACAGCTGATCCGACCTGAACGGAGACGGAACTGCACTAGACGGAATCTCGATCGACGCGGAACTTCGGCGAGCCGCTCCGATGACGATCGAGGCGGGAACTTCCGAACGCCGATCGATGCGGCGGTCCGATTGGCCGGCGTGAAAAAGCTCGGGCGGGAGAGAACGAACGCGTCAAGGGAGGGGGAAGGAAGAAGAAGAAGAAGAAGAAGACGACGACGCCGACGACGAGGGGGGAAGGGGAATTTGCCGGGAAGCTAGCACGAGCCGTGCACGTGCACCGCCATCGATCATCTTTTACTTTGCGCGCCATCATCCGCCCAATCAGAGGCTGACAGGTGGACCTAAACGCGCCCCTTCGTATGTGAACGAAAATAAAAAATAAAAAAATGTTAAACCCGTTCGCCCTATCCCCCAAAAAAAAGGCACTTTCTTATTTTCTTTCTAAAATTGGAAAACGAAAAAATAAATCTCCACAATATTATATACGTATTAATGTATATGATTTCACCCATCACAGACTTTCCGTATTTTTCACCTATACTTTATTGCGTAATGAAACTGAAAAAAATATGTAGTAATGTGTTGCAACTCATGGTGATTAATGCAAATAAATCCATTTCGTAATTTCGCCTCCTCACTTCGCAATTATTGAAGTGGCAAATCACAGACCCAAAAAAGCTAAAAAAGTAACGCAAATAGCAAAATATCGTCATGGTTAGAGTACAAATTCTTAAAGAAAATCAGCAAACGAAAATAACGCATTAAGCAGAGCGTCCATGAGCTGACTATTTAGAGAATTTTCTCTGATTTTTTTTCTGCAATATAACTATGCTGATTATTTTGCTATTTTTTTTTTGTATGCAAAAAGGGTTGAAGGTAATTAACGGAGGGCATAACTTGCGTTAGCTAACGGAGGGAGAGAATTTTACCCGTGCCAATTTAACGGCAGCTAACAGAGACCGTAATTTCAGGCAAGCTTCGAGTTAGCTACCAGCCCCAGGCGAGCTCAAGCCTCGCCCAAGGCCGGCGAGGCTTGAGCTCGCTAGATTCCGGCAAGCTTAGAGCTCACCGGAGGTCGTCGCAGTAGCCGATCGACCTCGGGCAAGCTCGACCTCACTTGTGGCTGGTCGCCGGCCGTCACGGTGGCCGGCGACCGGCCAAGGAAGAAGCTAAAAGAAAAGAAAAGAAAAGGAAAGGAAAAAATATGTAAAAAACAAAAATTAATTTTAAAAAATATGGATCTTGTTTGATAATTTTTCCCATAAGATTTTCCTTACCAAATAACGGATAATACTTTCCGGATCTTTTTCATGATTCAATTGAACATCAGAAAATTCCTCGAAAATGTTTTTCAGAAATGGTATATTTTCCGCTAGACAAACGGACCCTTAAGTAAATCAAAACATTAATTTTGAATTTGTCCGAATAAGAAACTTATTAATGATTTGGATATCTTCAAGGAGCCTGATCTTTTCTTTCCTTAAGCTTCATTGTGTATAAGTTCCTACCCATCCTCACATTTCTCTGCTACAAATTTCCCTCTTACTTCACTAGCCTGTGACAACCAAAAAAACTTAAGATGGGGATTCTAGGCTTGAAGAGGCTGGCGCTGGCGGTGGCCGCGTCAATTATTTTCGCGCTGTTCGCTGCGCAATTCGCGCAGAGCGATCGCTGCAGCGACTACATCATTCGCATGTGCAATTTAGACTGTGCCGGCGTCAAGCCTTTTTATCCGTGTTACAAGCAGTGCTTGCGCCGCCAAACGTGTCCTCCCGACGCCGCCGCCGCCGCCGTCGGAACCGGCCTCCTCGACTCCGCTATTCCGGGCAGCGCCCACAAGTCCACCGCCTTCAATTCTGGTAATACAACCAATCTTATCTCGAAAGAAGCTTTATTAGATTAAGCTTATTCGTTACCAAATTAATGTTCCAAAATTTTTTCTATTTTACTCACCTTAATTTCATATTTAAGCACATGAAATATCTTTTGTTTTGTTCATCTTGTCCAGATTTATTAAATTTTATACATTACGGTTTGGTTTTTCTTTTCTTTTCTATTGTCAAATTTTGCAGATCCGATGAAGCTTAAAGATTGAGCAAAGGCCATGCTGCAAAGTGCAAAGGATTGCCAAGCGAGTTATTACGCTCCAGGATTTGTAATAAACAATTGCCAGCATTAATGTATAATTTTCGCAAAATAATGTGATTATTGTGATGGACCAGATTACCTAATGGATATTCTTTTTTTTCCCTAATATCCTAAAATGGCTATTTTGTCAATATAACGTGCCATTTATAAAGGGATACTTTAAAATGGCGATTTTGTCAATCTTATGATTTTTAAATTATGTATCTTATTTTGTAGGCTACTGCAAAATGGCGATTCTGTAGATTTCATAGTTTTAAATAGCACCTGTTTGATAAGGTGGCAAAAGAAAAGGTTGTAAAGGGAATTTTCGTGAATAATATGGGAGATTCGATGCCATAATTAACATCGTCGTAAAGATGTTATATGGAAGATTTCCTCCTGATGTCGGCCGGTCGACGTTCCGCTCTTCTGGCATTGTCCATGCAATGCCCCACAAGTCCGCGGGCTTAAAACCCGGTATCATATCTTAATCTTAGAGTGAGCGTGTTTCGTGGAAAATGAAATGATTTGTAAAACATTTTCCTAAATTTGATCGCTTGAATCACGGACAAAAATGAATGAACGAAAAATATTTTTACCATCCATGATATTGTGTAGACATAAAAATTGTTGTTAATAACGAAACTATTATTCATTGACTAACTATTTCAAGTGATACAAGCGATCGTTTTTTTCCAAATCATTCATTTCCCGCAAAACAGACGGAGCCCGGATTATCAAATTTGACCTAGCTCATCGCAATCAAATCTTAGGCGGCACTAATTTCCTTGTATCGATATTGTTTCCTCTTCTTGCACGTATTATCTCTGGAAAATTTGCATGAATTATCTCTTGAAAATTTGTGTTTATACCATAAAATGTTTCGACAGATGGGGAATTGGTTCAATCTTCTTTATCAATCATCATCATACATGCGTTATGGAAGTTATAAATAACGTATTTTTTTTTTTTTGGCAAGAGAAGTAATTCGAAACTCCCAAACGTATAGGGCAATCTTCAATGCAATCATAAATGCATTGATCTTTTCCAGCTCTCCCTTCACCTATATAAAAAGATTTTGGGATCTCCAAGGTCCAGCACAATCTTCAACAAGCCCCTAAATAAAAAAGACCATAAAAAGCGAAAAAATATATATAAAAAAAAGATCCCCTCTCTTTCCAGAATAATGGACGCTACTTCTTCAATAAGGTCCGTGTTGAAGCTCGTCGTGGTCTCCTTCATAGCGTTTGTGGCGTCCGTGACCCCCGGAGCCACGGCGTTTCCGATCTGTTGCGCCCGCGACCATAAGTGCTGCCACCGAGCCCAAGAGGCGGAGTTCGAGTAATGACGCGGCACTATATTCTCTATTAAATTAAATAAAGGGTTATCGGCTTTTTTTTATTTTTATTTTTTTCCATCATTGAATATGTGTGGGGGGAGGGGGTGATTACCGTAATCCCTTTGAGCATGTCGCTCTAGTCATGTCTCTTTAATAATAACTGGTTCTTCGAATCCCGCGCAATGCCTGGGTTTGAAACTTCGATTATTCTCGTTTTGGTTTTGATGCTATGATTCGGTAAAGCTAAACAAATTGCGACGAATTATATATATTTTGTCGAAATTCACTCGGGCGAAAAAGATATGGTAGTTCGAAATGCATTTGTGTTCCTTGGACATGTTCTTTTAATTCGTGATGCGATTCGGTATAAAATTAAATAAACACACAAATTAATGCTCTCGTATTTATCATTTGCGGATATTTGCAAATTGCATTAGAAATGCTATTTCTGTTTCTCGTGCAACAAGTGAAGCCCTCCTATATCTTAAGGAATTTCAATTTTCTTTGATTTCCTAAAATATCCTAAGGACAACATCAATAGCTATAAATACAGAGAAGAAAATCGAAATATCCTTTTTAAACTTAACTGCCAAGAACCCACCAACTTCCTTGGCATACAACATTAGGAATTTTCTTGGCTTCGTTGGCATACCCCTCAAATTCCCAATCAAGCTTAGTGATTCATCATAACCTCATTCCATAAGGTAATGGTCGATGGAAACATTTTTCGAATCGTTTACATAAAAACCGCGAAATGAGCGCACACTTGAATCATAGTATACTTTACCTTATATTATACCACATCGCATGTTTTCAACTTTTATGCGGGATGAGAACCAATAAATCAATACCCAATATTAACTGTTCTGCTTCCAAGAACAATTACACATTTAACCCACGCAATAAAATGGCTCGGGAGCTAGTCGAAACTAGAAGGCGCTCCGGCCCGCGCTAAAATGGTCTGCGACAGCAATCGACCATACTCGATACAACTTAACTTTGATGGTCCCTAGATTGATAGCTTTGTATTTAAATGCATGTCTTCTAATGGTAAGTAAATTCAAATGAATAGATAAAATAAAAAAAAAAGAAGGCCAACGTGTAGATGACGGGGCGTGGGGTAGAAGTTAGGTAGGGGCGCGTTTGGCGTTGCAGGTGGCTGTGTTAATGCTTTCATGCATGTTCAAAGCCAAAGCCAAAACCAAAACCAAAACCATTCACGGGCGTCCCTACACAACTCCCCCCTAGTCTCTTCCTGCCCACTTGACATAATATTAATAATAAAACCACGTTTTCATCTTTACAGGAGATCTCGCGGACACCAGATTTAGCTATAGTGGATTTCAAGAGACTACCAAACAGCCAACCACATTCGAATTGAATAAAAAGTAAAAGGAAAAGAGGAAAGACCAACGACATCATCAGTGATGGCTCTGCGCCCCACTTAGAAACAAAGGTAAAAAGTTAGACAAGACAAAGGGTGCTGCTAGCTGCTGCTCAAACCCAAAAATTTATTAGGATTATTTATATATCTTAAGAAAGCAAGGAGTCTTTGCGACCATATGCGGGAGGAGGAAAGGGGAAAACAGGAGCGGAAAAGTTAAAAAAGACTCTTCAATTGGAAATGCAAGAAAGAAAGCAAGCAAGCAACTAGAGAAACTAGCGAGAAGAAAATCGAGAATGGAAGAATTGGAGTTGTCTGGATGCTTTAGTTCGCGCCTCCAATCAAGCTAAGGGCATCGGCCTCGGCCGGGAGGGCAGGGATCGCTCCCTTCTTGGTGGTGGTGATGGCTCCGCACGCGTTGGCAAACTTCAGGACTTTCCTCAGTCTTCCTTCGTCCTGCAAATCGACCATCAGTACATTATCCAACAAATCCGATGATTATAAAAGGAGTACATCATAATAGTAAGCAAGCATTGTTCCGGAAATGTAGTACGATCCCTACTTCGAGAATGGAGTGGTCGTCCACAATGTTGCAGAGGAGTGCCCCGACGAAGGAATCACCAGCACCAGTCGTGTCCACCGTGTTGACGTGGAAGGCGTCTACAGCTCCATGGAAATTCTGAATTTCGGCGGAAACAAAAAAAAAAAAGTTAGTAATCGGATAATTTTTAATTTTTCCAGAACAGATCAATTTCCAATTCCGTAGCTAAGGAGTAAATGCATACGACTTTATAGCTCCGGTAACAATTCAAGGACTTCTTACCAAGTAATCTGTTTCAGCAACTTTATAATTTTTTTTCTATTTCTACTTTCGTTAGGCAAGATGAAGCTCAGCAGAATAAAATAAAGAAGGGGTGGACAGGAGGAGAAGGACAGATACAAAACTACAATCACACAACAGACAGTGAGTGCACGGCTTCAATCCACAGTTGGCTGCACGAGACATAATTAATTTCAAGCCGACTCCGACCAAATCCAAGAATGGTCATACCAACCTATCCACCCACCCCAACAACAGAATAGGACATCTAAGTAAGGTGTTGTATCACATAGGGACATTATTTCAACTTTTCTTATAACTCTCACTGTAAAAATATCGGTTGGAAACCAAATTTTCCTGCATCACTAAGCAAGATTGCCAACAGCAACTGCTAAAACAAAGTTGTCTGCACATTGATAACACAGAAAGAAAAGTCCACATGCTTCCTGTTGCATATTCCAATGCCGCTACTACGAAATTTGACCGAAAGACAACGGCCCAATTTAAATATAATATGTGAACCAATTGTAACAGGATGATTTGTCTAAAAATGGGCTTGATCTATTGTTTCAATTGCTAGACTTTCTTTTTACTCTCTCTACACCAGACCAACCTCCCACATAAAGTAAGAGGTGCATAATAACGTAGTTAGTTGTAGCTGCCACTAAGGAGCACAACAAAAAGTCAATAGTTTTGCAAAGAGAAGACAAGTAGGAATTTCAGATCCACTGACCTTGGTGTAGTATCTACAACCATTCTCACCCAAAGTGACAAGGAGAAGCTTCAAGTTGGGGTGCCACAGTGACATTGCAGATTCATCATCAATCTTGTCACTCCCTGTGAGGAACTCCAACTCAACATCACTCACTTTAATGAGATCTGCCTTGTCCCAAATGCTCATGATCTGCTCACGAGCATACTCAGGCGATGGCCACAATGGTAGTCTGAGGTTCGGATCATAGGAGAGCAGAGCCCCAGCGTCTCTGGCAACTTGCATTGCTTTAAGATGGGCTGATCTGCATGGCTCCACAATCAAACTGATGGATCCATAATGAAAGACTTTCCCCTATAGAGAAACAAAAGTTAGATTGAGGGTTTCTGGTCAATCAAAATTACCCTCGCTAAACTTTTCCAAAGTCATAATACATATACAAAGACAGGTGATATATGAGTCAATACATGAAGCATGCCAATCTCATCTTCAAGAAATTTTTTACAATTACAGGGGCTTCTGACTCTAGCTAGTTTTGCCATGCAAAGTATGTTTCTTAAACTTCTGTCTTCCGCAGAATCTAAGGACTGAAGTGAAGTTAGCGGACGACAACAGGTTATCAAAAGAATTATCTTTGAAGGTGGGATGGCAACTTTTAGCTCCAAAGAGAGAATAGAAGTGGTAAATATCACAATCGTACCGCAAAAGCATAAAAAAGAACAATAAAATACTAATGCTGACAACAATGAATTGTGATCCTAAGGAAAATACAAAAGTCACAACAACGTTTACGGGCAAAAGGCTCACGAACCCAAATAAGTCAGATAACCAGTCCTAATAAGGGTGCCAACAGCAGGTAATCTTCAAGGCATGTATTCCTTCATGCGCTCATCCAAACTCAACATTGAATTTTTGTTTGGTATCACGATGACTACTACGCTGTTCATTAATGATAGTACTGATCCACCTGACTCATCACATTAGTTTTTCAATGGAAACCAAAGTCCTGGAATCCTTGCTTGAACACAGCCGGGGCTGAGAATTATCAGATCAGGGAGCCAAATCTCAAACGCATAGATCAACACTCTTATTCTCATATTACCTGATTATCCAACCAAAAAAAAAAAAAAATCACGCCTTTGACTCGATTAGAAGTTCTGAGAATTACCCCTTGGTTAAATATTACCGAGAAATCTTTTACTATAGAATTTAAAAAGAAAAGCTTCATCCTTTATGACGACGAACCAGTTCATTTACAGACAAAAAGGGGCGCGGGAGGCGTGGTCAAAAACGCAGCGCCGCCTGAAGTTCAGGAAAAGCCAACCAAAAGTCAAAGCTTGACCGAGAAGAACCGTGCGCGATCCGACGCACAAGGTTTCGTCGCACGCGTGACCCAAAACAAATCCCCCAAAATATTCGCCATTGACGATGGACATACAAAATATCCAATCCGGGAGCCAAGATCACATCGCCCGCTGCATGTCCAATTCCAACTATGTTTCGACCAAAAATAAAGATAAATTCCAACTATTTATCGGAAAAAACCTCATTTCTATAAAAATAAAAATGGCAAGAGGATAAAAATCTCGGCCGAAACGAATCATCCGGGGCCCACAATGGCCCCGCGAGAGCGGGGAAGGGATCATTCACCGGCGGGTCCCACCCGAAATGCCGTCACGCGACCTGCACGTGAGACCACAACAGTCGAAGACGACGAGACCTCAACAAAGATCCACGCACCACACACAGACACACACACACACAGATCTGATGGAATCTCAAGGAAAGGAAGAAGAAAATCCGCCAATGCGGAAGCCCCGATTCCAGCCGTCGGATCCACTCGCGGCGACGTGTTCCGATCGCAAGGGACGAGCCACGTGACGGCGAGCCCCGGATTCCGAGACTCGAAGCTCGATCCCCGCGCGAAACGGAGGGGACGAGCGAAGGAGAAGAGCAGCGGAAGGACGATCGAGATCGATGGATCGGTAGTGCAGGAAGAGGTTCGAAGCACTTACAGATCTGATCAGCTCGAGGTTGAGCTCCTCGGGCTTCAGCAGCATATCGGCGCTCGGGTTCCGGTAGAACATGAACTCGCGCTCCCCGTCGGCGCGGAGCGTGACGAAGGCCAGCGCGGTCCGTGCCCCCTGGTCGAAGTTGATGCCGTCGCCGTTGACCCCGTTCTGCTTCAGGATCCCGGCCAGCATGTGGCCGAACTCGTCGTCCCCGAGCTTGCCGACGAAGGCGGACCTGCCGCCGAGCCGGGTGACGGCGATCGCCACGTTGGCGGGGGCTCCACCGGGGGCCTTGAGGAACCCCGGCGCCTCCGCCAGGGAGACCCCGGAGACGGTCGGGACGAAGTCGATCAGCATCTCGCCGAAGCTCACGATGAGGCCCTGGCCGGCGCCGGGCTGGCCATTGCCGTGGGAAGCCATGGGGATCGCACCGGGGGACGGGGGAAGGGGTAGGGTTTTTGCAGGGGAGGAGGGGGAAGGACGGAGGATGAGAGAGAAAGCGCGGGGGTGGGGCAACTGTTTGTAGAGAGAGAAAGGGAGAGGAGAGAGAGAAGGGAGAGGAGGGATTCGAGGCGTATTTATAGCGGGGGGAAGAGGGAGAGGTAGTTGAGTCGAGTCGAGTCGGGAGGTTAGACGACGACGACGACGACGACGAAAAGCCAGAAAAAAGCAACGTTCTGAGGTAAAAAAAATAAGGAGATAAATTCTCTGGATTATCTTAAATTCAAAATATTATTGGATAAATACAAATAGATCGAGCCTATATCTAATCCAATTTCGGATTATTATTAGACGGCTTCGCCATTTTTTTAAAAATAAAAAAATCGACCCGAAATTACGAAAATTTGGGAGGAATTTTGCCGAAAGGATAATTAAATAAGAAAAAACCAACTTACCCGATCATGACCGTAAACAGCAAGGCGACTTTTTGACGTGACAAAATAAACAACCTAAAATGGAGAAATTTTGGAGAATTATTAATGTTGCGAGGTTGTTGCATTGCACGTGTCTTGATGGAGACGTGAGAACCCAGCGGGATTGCGAAAGAGATTTTGTGATAAGCTTCAACCGCATTTCAAGGTTCGAATTAATTTGGGGTGATTTTCATCTTTTTACTCTCTCCTTTTTCAAATTCAGCAGGGCATGCATTTTGACCTTTATTTTTTTCGATGTGTCGGATTTAAAATCTCTAAAAATGTTATTGCCGCCATAATATGTAGATCCGCGTATATCTTTTTTTTTATTTTATAATTTCTTGAAATTTTGGATGATATTTTGAAGTTTGATGGGGAAAGGGGGAAAATATTTGCTTTTGACATTTTAGAAGCCCGAACAAGCAAATACATCGGAATGAAATTACATTTCCAATAATAGTTTTCATATGAATCTAGCTGCATCTGGTTATAAGATTGTCACGTGTGTCTTTGTTTAGTTGTGGTCACCAAAAATTCAATAGTTTCAATTATTAAAAATCCAATCGAATTCAATCCATGACCGATTAAAGTGTCACATGTGACCTCAAATCAAAAGCTGAAGGACTCTCATATGCCTTGAAGCCTCAACTTTGTAAGATTCAATTATCAAGATAATACATCGTACGAATAATTTTAAACAATTAAGGAAACTACGAGAAACCTTTATTGAATCAGAATATATGGCTTACATTCTTAAATGTCATCCTTGCTCGATGACTGCATTTGAATACAAAGGTCTTAATGGCACTTAAATGAAATGAGAAGGGAAGTAAAAAGCTTACGAGGCACGATTGGAAAGTTTGAAAACATGTGTTGGAATTAGGAAGCCTAATCTATTCGTGTTTGAAACTCCTTCGTTAATGTTGAGAGAAGCTTGAGGATAAGTTTGTTTGTCGTTTACTTTGACACGTCCTATATCTTTAACGAGTCATTCCATAATACATCACGATCTTTCCTTGCTGGTAATCTTTAAGGTTGCGTTTGATAATCAGAATAGGATACAATTTATCTTATGCCGTGTTTAATTCATGCCCAAGATAGGATAAAGTCGGATATAGTCTGACTAAAGATATCTCAAAGGGGGAGGTGTGATAAAAATGGATAGGATTTTTTATATTCATTGTATAAACGCTATTTTTCTCAAATGACAAACTTCTTAAGTTGATAAAATTAAAATAATAATCAAATATCAATAATATTTAAATTCTAATATGAAAAAATAAAATTAAAAAAATAACAATAATTTTCATTTTTAGTTTAGGTCAAAGCTCCACGAAAACAGCGAAAGAGTTGAAGCTACTTCTCCCCCTGAGCTTTCTATTTCATGTCAAAAGTCCATGATAGCAGCAAGAGAGTTGAAACTTATCCTCCGTAAATATGTGGTTCACTTTAAATTTTTAGGAAAGTGGCAAGAGAGTCGGAGTAATATACTTTTCGGAATCGCAAAGATGAATAATCATGTTTTCTTTCTCTTATTAGATTTAATATTCGTTGGCTGATCTACCTCTTTGATGTTACTATAGCTCATTTACATTTCTTGTTATAGTGAACTCGTGGCTTTAGAATGCTTCAATGAGCTCCTTTGCCGTTTAAAATTTAGATCTTGAAGTAATCATAAACCGATCGATGGAGGTTATCTCCATTTATTCATTTTTGTAGTTTCATTGGTAGTAAAACACGAGAGATTCTTACAATCTCTATTTGTACATCCTCAGGTTTATTTATATTTATATGCCGTTTATACCGAACAATGAATATGATAGGATATAAAAATGTCTGGCTTTTTTATTATCTCGATTCATTAAACAACGGATATGACATAGTAAAGTCCCTGGATTCTTTATCATATCATATCCAGTCTTATTCAAGTTAAAAATCTAAATAACTAAACACAGCCTAACGGTCTCTTCATTTGCCCATCACTCTGGAAATGATAAGTAATCGCTTCCAACCTTACCTTATGGTTATCCTTTGGTCAATGGGTCCGTCTTAACTCAATCTTCAACTTCCCTTAATGTTCCGAGTTGATCAGAGGTCACTGCACGTCACGATCTTCACTGAAAAACTCTGCCTATCGAAAACTCAGGGTTAATTGGCTTTGTGGGCAATTGTATTTTCCATGACCTTTGTAATCGATGAGCTTGTCTAGACATTCTATCGAGTGGGTCTTATAGATTAAGTGTACTCTTATGGTCTGGCCCGTGCCATTAGTTTATTTATACAATTGGGCAGAGCTACAATTGGAAAAAGAAAAGTATCCTCAAGTATCTTATTTCCTATGTCTTGTTTGCAAAAAAATAGTGGAATATCAACCGTCGCACCATATGGTACGTGGTCGGGCGTTTGGTGAACTCAATTAAAGATTGAATAATAATGAGAAAAACAAATAAGTACTAAAAAAACAAAAAAATATCGTAGGACTACTATGCGTGACCACTGCATCGGTGGCCTCTTTGCCGAGGTGCTCAATCGGAACTCGCCGAGAGAGAGAGAGGTGATTGCCCGAAAACTTCACTGAAACCATGGCAATCGCTTCTCTGAGGTGCTCAATCAGAACTCACTATGAGCAAGAGAGAGAGTGTGTGTAAAGACCCGGTCAGACGAGGGCAGGAAGTAGTCATCGAGATTAGAGGGCTTACATAAAGAGCGGCTCCCGACAGACTTTTAAGATGGCGAAGGGAGCATAAATGAACCGAACTGTGCATCGAAAATGAGGTCATATATACGTGAAAATTAGAATTAACTCACGTAGGCTCGGTATAAAATGGGCCAAAGCGGACAATAACACAGTTAATTAATCTAGGGATGTCGGGGAGAGAGAGATTGTTAGGTGACCATAACACCTAATGGTGGTGGCTGTTGTTACTGTAGGCCTATCGAGCTTTGGCCGCTGCTCACTGTCAAATTAGTTGCATATCAGAGAGTCGCATCTCAAGAAACAACTCAACCGCAATCTGTTCTCTCTCTTCTTCTTCTTTATCAATTACATATATATCTTGAACCTTCTTATCCAAATATAAAGAGGGGGATATCAATGATCACATCCACATCCACATTCACATTCCCTAAGGTTCAGAAGAGACGTGCAGGACTGTATTCGGGCCATCGTCCCAAAGCTTTATTCCATTCCACTTCCATGGCCGAACATCAGATAAGCTAAAGGCCATAAGATTCTCCTCCATGGAAAGACAGAAACCATTCCATCTTTTTCCTCGGCGAGAGAGTCGCAGATGCGACGTTGCTTGCGTGGAGGAGACGAATGAAGCTGACACACGAATCGAATCGATGAACACCCTTTGTCATATCGCCACCATATATGCAAGAATATTCATTTTTTGCTGCCCATCGAGTCATAAAAGTTTCCTCCATTCATATTGCTTTATTACTAAAACTGAGTAAGTATGGATAATCAGTACATGAGTTATAGTTGGTATTTTTTTATAAGACGAAAAGAAAAAAACAGGCCATAATTAAGACCCGACCTAAAGTTGGTGGCTCTTAAGGGAAATGAACCAATGTATATATGTTGTTTCCATAGTAATTACTTATTTCCACAATAATATGGCGACTTAATCATATGATCTTATCGATGCACAATTTAGCCAAGCTTTCCGGGACTGTCCGCATATTTTCGAGATTGTCCCAATATTCTCCCACTTGGCCCGATTAAAATTTAATACATTAATTATTATGCTCGCTTGATGACAATAAACAAATACTTATAATGTCCCTCAGAAAACCATACTATGATAAATTGTTTAATGTGAGTTATGGCGGTTCTGTACTATTTATGCATAATACTTCCTTCCAATATACTACAACACTTATAGGGTTCATGAGAGATATATAATCATGTGGGCTAGTACCACAAAAAACTCCAAATTGAGATAGCTGTGAAACATTTATCCCAAACTAATTTTCATATCACAAAAAAATCCTAAACCAGTGTTTGTGTTACATAAAATTCCAAACCGGTACACCGGTGTCACATTTATCTCAAACTAATTACCAAAATCTTGAAAATCTGCTAAATTCCCTAATGTTCTTTTTACACAACAATTGATTTGGGAATAAACGTGGCAACGTGTACTAGTTTGAGATTTTTGGTGATTTTAATTTTTATAATTTCATTATAGTCAGCAATAATGTCTCATAAAGACTTTCCTGTTGATTTAAAATAAATTATGTGTACACAACTCAAAAGAAAACATGAAATGATTAATGTATGTCCGAAACACAACATAGAGCTCAGAGTCTCGACTAATCGTAAACCACCGACAATTTATTACAACCGTGACCCATCCCGAGAACATATATGTTCTTTAAATAACTTTTGTTCTAATCTACCAAACACTATAAAGAATCTGCCAACATTCCGTTAAATTAATAAGATATCGACTTTTGTTGAGATTTCAGAAGATCTGAAATTTTATGTTATGGTGGTTGTGTACATTTTATGCAGAACACACTAAAACTCCTGTTCGCAACCTCGACCGCGACCGCGACTGCAGCCGGTTTATACATGCACGCGATGGCGATTGATCCCAAGGAGTATTGGGATCATTAGGAGGACCAAGCACACCCCTGTGCCAATCATCCTGCGGTAGTTGGACGACCCTCCGCCTACAGCAAGAGCAGATTCAAAGTTACCGCCTGGAGAGCAAAAAGAGAGAAGTCGAAAAATGGAGGAATTGGAATTTGTCCGAATGGTTTAGTTCGCGCCTTCAATCAAGCTGAGGATGTCGGGCTCGGTCGGGAGGGCAGGGATCGCTCCCTTCTCGGTGGTGGTGATGGCTCCACACGCGTTCGCAAACTTCAGGACCTTCCTCAGTCTTCCTCCTTCGTCCTGCAAGCCGACGAAATCGATACGTTATCCAACAGATCTGATGATTATTGAAGGGAGCAACGTCAGAATAGCAAGCAAGCATTGTCCAGGGAATGTAGTTCAATACGTACTTTGAGGATGGAGCGGTCATCGACGATCTTGCAGAGGAGTGCCCCGACGAAGGCATCGCCGGCACCGGTTGCGTCGACAGTGTTGACACGGAATGAGTCTACTGCTCCACGAAAATCCTAAATTTAAGGCAATGTTAGTGGTCAGGTGAATATAATCTTTCCAGAACGGATCAATTTCCTTCCCCTTAGCCAAGGACCGTATAAATAAGACTTCATAGCTCCTGCAACAATTCATCTTCCGGCAACTTTTCGTTCTTCTTCTATGAAGCTCAGCAGAATACAACGGAGTGGAGAGGAGGAGAAAGACAGATACAAAACCACGATCACACCATCAGACAGCGAGGGTGCGGCTTCAATCCACAGTTGGCGGCACTAGACATAATAAATTCAAGCAAATCCAAGATTTGGTCATGCCAACCGATCCACCCACCCCCAACAACAGAATAGGACACCCAAGTAAGGCGTTGTATCATATAGGGACATTGCATTTCTTATAATCCTCACTTTGACAGTGTCAGTTGGGAAACGAGATCTTCCTGCATCACCAAGCAAGATTGCCAACAGCAACTGCTAAAACACAGAAAGAGAAACTCCACATGCTTCGTGCTGCATATACCGATGATGCTACTACAAAACGTGAACCAAAGACGATGGCCCGATTCGAATTTTAAAATTTAGTGTTAAACCCTTTGGAACTAACATGATGATTTGTTAAAGAATGTGCTCGATCTTCCTTTCTACTCTCTCTTTACACCAGACCAACCACCCGACCACCCGCAAAAAGCAAGAGGTGCATAAAACAACATAATTAGTTGTAGCTGCCACTAAGGACTACAACAAGAAGTCAATGTTAGCAGGAATTCCAGATCCACTGACCTTGGTGTAGTATTTACTGCCCTTTTCACCCAAAGTGACAAGGAGAAGTTTCAATTTGGGGTGCCACAGCGACATTGCGGATTCGTCATCGATCTCACGGTTCCCCGTGAGGAACGCCAGCTCATCGTCGCTCACTTTAATGATGTCCGCCTTGTCCCAAATGCTCATGATCCGCTCGCGGGCCTCCTCGGGCGACGGCCACAACGGGAGCCTGAGGTTTGGATCGTAGGAGAGCAGAGCCCCGGCGTCTCTGGCAACCTGCATTGCTTTAAGATGGGCTGATCTGCATGGCTCGTCAATCAAACTGATGGATCCATTATGAAAGACTTTCCCCTGTTACGAAAACACACATCGAGATCATCAAATATCATCGCCATCACTAAGCTTTTCCAAAGTTGTAATACGAATATAAAGAAGGTGATATCTGAGTCCTGAGAATGGTGCCAAATCCTATTTTTATTTATTTTAATGATAATGGCAGAGGATAATAAAAATCTCTCGATAAAAGGAATCGCGCGACTTGCGTGTGAGATTATCACAACAGTCGAAAGACGGAACCTCGCCCTTGCCTCACCCCGACCGCGTTGCCTTCCTTCTCTCTCTTCTCGCTCGCGGCGCCAGAGTTGGACAGCTCCATCGTGGCACAAGCGATGAGCTCACCTCTTCTTCAGCCTCAACGAGGCTGCCGGGTTTTGAAGCTCGCGTGCACGCGATGCGAATGCTGCCAAGCGGAGTTGTCGCCGTAGAGCTTCCGAACCGAAGTTTTTGGAGACTGGACGGTGGTGGTCGGCGTCAAGGTGAATACGCAGAGCGGGAGCTGCCGACGTGGGCTATGGTCAAGGTTGCGGAGTCTGGCGATGCGTCGTCGTGCTTCGTGTTCTCTGGAACGACGATGAGGGAGAGGATGGCCCGGGCTTAGGGTTTCTGTGAGGTTGAGGTGTTTGTGTTTGTCGAGATTGGGTGTGAACTTATGAAGGTTCATGCAAATTGAAGCAGGTTTTGAGCTCTCCTTCTGTTTCATTGCTTCAATAACCTCAAGATTCGTCTCCAGAGGTAACAGAGGACTGGAAAAGAAATTTGATTAAGCTTGAATTTCGGCTTGCTTTGATTTTTAATGAACTGTAAATGCTCAGGAGATTTTGCTTGTTAATTTTCCAAGTAAATTGGGTCATCTTGTTGTGCACATCTTTGTTAACGGGACGCTGCAAGCACTGTGAGATTTTATAAGACCGTTGCTAAACGCGAAACTGTTAGAAAAGTTTAATTCCATAGATAAATTTCTAACACTTTCCTCGCACGTTGATTGGACTTTAGCCTCCGTCTAAAGGGTAGACAAATAAGCGGTTGGAAAGATTTTAACTCGAAACCTTTTATTATAATGTCATATTAAATTTTGTAGATCACTGCCTATTGTTGTAAAATCTTATTATTATTTAAATATTCTAGCAATCAATTCCTGATTTATGATGCGGTGCACAAGGAAGAAAAAGTAATTGAAGAGAGAGAACGAACGAGAATAATTTAGACACGTGGTGGGGATCAAAGAATGAAGTGGACTATGGCTTACGTGGCAGTCTAGGATCACTCAATATTTTCTCCACGTCACGGTGGACGATCCGGAGGTGGTGGCGGGGTGCACGACGGCTAGGGGTGTCAAATGGGTGGGTTGGGTCGAGTTTGGGTCGGGTCATAAATGGTCCGACCCAAACTGACCCATTAACCCGTTGATAAACCATTTATACGCAATGCAATTTTCTCCACTATCCATCAAAAAATTACAGCATCCAGCTGCCCATCCTACAAGACTATACAAAAAGCTCCAAACAAACAGCAACCTTATGGAGGAACATTAAGACAGTGAGTGGATGCAACAACAAATGAGACTTTCGGTGTAAAGTCAAATATGAGAGGAACATTTAAAACTAAAGAAAAACTACGAAAAAATAGCTCATCCAATGGAGGTTTTCCAGAAAATCCAGAAACCCAGTCCACCAACAATCGCTGTGACCACACCAATCAATGGGAATGACCCACATAACACCGAGCTCACGGCGCATTCGCACAAAAGAGCCGACAGAATTCAAGGATCGGCGAAGCAAAAGAAAGCAACTGTAGGGAAAAAGATCGAACATTCTCACCTCGACGAAATTGGTGAACTTGGGATCTCTATTGACCACCAACCGATGAACCTAGAAACCCAGCAACCCAGCGCCTCTGGTATAGATCGTAAGAGCTGAAGTTAGGAGTTAGGACCACAATTAAATTGGAAAGAAAGTGACAAACTAATAAAAAATAAGTTAAACATGTAAATAGTACGTATGTGTCACGGTCAAGAGGTTTTCTAACACCAAGGACCGTGACACATCGACGAAGACCCGTCCAAAACCCAATGGAGCTTCCGGAATTTTCCTAAGGACGGGCGAAACGGTAATTGTGCCGGGGTTCTAGAGAGTTCTCAGCATAAATGCCGGTAGTTGATAGCTCTCGGAATAAATGTCGGTAGGTGGTCGACGAGAACGATACGATCTCGGCCACTCGTCTAGAAATCGATCAATGGTTGTAATCCGAGGCCCTCTACTATATAAAGGGGTGTCCTCCTCCTCATTTGAAGTATCCAAACAACAAGAAGCATTTCCATTCTCTCCCAGAGCTTCTCTCTCTACGATCCGAGTGTCCGAGCGAGTGAGCGATCGGGAAAAAGGCTTGGCCTAGGCTTTCCAACGATCCAAGGAAGCCTAAGTCGCCGCACGGGTCGTTCCCAAACTATCTGCCCGTGACAAGTGGTATCAGAGCAAGTAAAGAGTCCATCCAAGGAGATCGAGGAGCACACCAATTGGTCGAGAGAATGTCAAACCAAGAACAACTCGCTTCGGTTGTTGTGGATGAAAGGGCTCCCAATGAATCGGTTCCCAATGAGCCGACTGCCCAACCAAAGACTCATGGAAAGTCCAAGAAAAGGGATGCTTCGTCGGACACCGTAGCCGCGGTCGATGAGAAGCTCACGAGAATGAGAACAGCAATGCTGGAATTCATCGAAGAACTCGATGAAGTTAAAGGGCGGATCAACGAGGTTGAAGAATCTCTCCGCCACGATTTCACAAACGTCGTCAATCGCACGACGGCCCCCTTATTCGATAGGGACGATGTCCTCGAAGCATCCATCGAGGCTCTAAAGCTTGAAGTCGTGGAGCTCAAAGAAGGCAACTCCTCCAAGGCCGAAGTCGAAGCTTTGAAGATGGAGGTGCAAGAGCTCAAGACCGAGCTTGTCCTATGCAAAGCAAGCATTGCGAACAGTGCATTGCCCATCCAAGCGGCACACAAGCTAGATGTGCCGAAGCCGAAAGAATTCAAAGGCAACCGGTCCGCCAAAGAGGTGGACAACTTCCTATGGAGCATGGAACAATACTTCGACGCCATTGGAATTCAAGAAGACTTGGCCAAGGTACGAACCGCTTCTATGTTCCTAGTCGATAATGCCATACTTTGGTGGCGAAATAGATGTGATGAGACAAAGCGAGGCGCCGATCCCATCACTACTTGGGATGGATTTGTCGAGGAGTTTCGGGATTATTTCTTCCCCGAGTATGCTCAACAAGAAGCCCGTAGCAAGCTCCATCGCCTTGAGCAACGAGGCACGGTCCGAGAGTACGTGAAGGAATTCACCGAGCTCAAACTCCAAATTCCCAACCTTGGGGAGGAGGAGGCTCTCGGGGCGTTTATGGATGGATTGAAGCCATGGGCACTACTCGAGCTCAAACGAAGGGACGTCCGAAGCCTCTCGCGAGCACTAGTCGTGGCCGAGTCTCTCGCCGACTTCACCAAGGAGGCCCCAAAGACAAGAGGGAGCGGGTGGAGATCGGATCGCCACCATGATGAAGAAGAAGACCAAGCTGTCCGTGGCCGAAAGGACTCGGATAGAAGTCCCAATCATGGCCGAAAAGACCATGGTGGACGTGAGAAGACATGGGGAGAAGGAATGTCCAAGTCAAGCGATCCCAAGTGGAATCGACCCCAAGGAGACTACAAGGGCAAGTTTGATACTCCACCACCGTCTCCGTGCTTCATTTGCAACGGTCCTCATTGGACACAAAAGTGCCTGAAGAAAAGTAGAATCAATGCCATTCTTGCCGTAGAAGAGGATGAAGAGACGAAGCAAGAAAAGGAGAAACGCGAGGTGCGACTTGGGACCGTGAAGGCTTTCAACTCAATCAACTCCGTGAAGGACAAAGCTCCGCCAAAGGAGAAGCCGGCACATTCACACCTCTCATTCATTGAGGTCAAGGTACGTGGCGTACCCCTCCTTGCCTTGGTCGATACGGGTGCTACGAGCTTGTTTTTGTCAAATGAGGCGGCCAAACACTTGGGACTTCACGTGGAACCAATTCGTAATCGTTATAAGACCCCCAATTCTGAAGAGATATCAGGCATAGGCGTGGCCAAAGATGTGGAACTCCAAGTCGGTACTTGGGAAGGCAAACTCCCGTTCGAGGTAATTCCTCTCGACGACTATGATCTCATTCTAGGCATGGAATTTTTCGATGCTGCAAGAGCCATGATAGACCTGAGGAGCAACATGATCATCATCACCGACTCGGAGTGCCCATCCATGATTCCAATGATTACTGGAGTAACCGAAGCCAAAGTCTTCTCCACGATCCGACGAATAAACAAAGAACCAAGAGTTGAGAAGTCCGTGCCCGAACTCCGCACCAAGCCAAAGCCGAAGGTGGATCATCCCCTTCAACACAACATGCCGATCCATGTCCTATTCCCGGAGGTGACAAACTTGCCGACCAACATGGAGGAACCCAAACCAAAGGAGCCAAATACTCGACAAACCGAGAAGCCGAAGGCCAAGAAGTCTCGGAAGAGTCGAAAGCGCTCCAAGAAGCCAACAAACAACCCCAAGCCAAGAGCTCCGAGGACGTCGCTCGAATGGGTGGGGGAGAATGTCACGGTCAAGAGGTTTTCTAACACCAAGGACCGTGACACATCGACGAAGACCCGTCCAAAACCCAATGGAGCTTCCGGAATTTTCCCAAGAACGGGCGAGAAGGTAATTGTGCCGGGGTTCTAGAGAGTTCTCGGCATAAATGCCGGTAGTTGATAGCTCTCGGAATAAATGTCGGTAGGTGGTCGACGAGAACGATACGATCTCGGCCACTCGTCTAGAAATCGATCAATGGTTGTAATCCGAGGCCCTCTACTATATAAAGGGGTGTCATCCTCCTCATTTGAAGTATCCAAACAACAAGAAGCATTTACATTCTCTCCCAGAGCTTCTCTCTCTAGATTCTCTCTCTACGATCCGAGTGTCCGAGCGAGTGAGCGATCGGGAAAAAGGCTTGGCCTAGGCTTTCCAACGATCCAAGGAAGCCTAAGTCGCCGCACGGGTCGTTCCCAAACTATCGGCCCGTGACATATGCATCTTAGACAAAACAACCTAATCAAGACCTATTTTTCCTAATCATTTATTTAATTTTTTAGTTTATCTTATATATATATTTTTCATTTTTTCAGACCACCATGAAGTTCAATTTTTTTTCCCTTTCCTTTTGAACCTTTTATTTATCTTACTCTCACGCCCAAACACAAATTCAGCCTATCAAGGTTGAGACTCTTCGGGAATGGACTCAAAAGTGAACATCAATTAGATTTAAGCAGACAAAGATGATCTCAGTCGGATTCGTATTTATACTAACACGACTCAGGCATTTCAACAAACACTTAATGTGCATTCGCTTAAATGGCAGCATGCAGCAATGAGACAGTGAGAATCACAACCCAATAAATCAGCACGAGATCATCAAGCCTGAATCGACAGTTATTGATATAATCTCAGACGAGAACAATTTTCGTGCTAGCAACAACAAGGAGCGATCGAATGATGTTCTGAACTTGCACGCTCAACGAAAGCTGGAAAGGTCGAAGGCTCCAAGTTGTGGAAGGTTTGAAGAAATTCTCCTTGGGTTCAATAAACTCGAGTTCATCGATGGTCCTAACTCCTAACTTCAGCGACAGAATTCAAGGATCGGCGAAGCAAAAGCAAGCAATTGTAGGGAAAAAGATCGAACATTCTCACCTCGATGAAATTGGTGAACTTGGGATCTCTATTAGTTTGTGGGATCTCTAGTTCGTCATCGGAGGAGC